TTTGCAAGTCATTCATGTTGTTCCTTAGGCATTTTCTCTTTGCTCAAATTGTTGAAGAATGGTGAATTGTTTCATGGTTTTTGTATTTGTCTCTAATGCACGTTTTAACATGATAGACGCAATGCATTGTGTAGCTACAGTTTTCTGGAAAGGTCAATCTTTTAGGAATTGTTTTTCAGATCTTCAATAATTGTTTTCTTTAAATTTCAAAAATAAATAAAAATAAATAAAAATATAAAATAAATAAATAAATAAATAAATAAATATAAAAATTGATTTAGGGGGTTAGGAGTGTAGTTCAATGGAAGAGCTCTTGCTTTGCATGGGTAGAGGCCCTGGGTTTAATCCCCAGCATCATGGGAAAAAAAAACAACAAAAAGCATGTTTTGGAAGACCATCTTATAACATGACAAAATCTTCAAAATAAGGTCTTTAAAAATATGTATCAGTGTTGTGGACTCTCTTAGATCTCTCAGTGATAAAGCCTGCTGCAGCATGCATGCTACAGATTTGCTGTTTATATCAATTTATTCATGATAAAATTCACAGCAGAAAAAATTCACAGCAAATTGTTTTGATTTCTATGAGTATGAATAATACTACTTTCTACCTTGTAATTTGTGTTCTTTAGAATTCCTGCAATTAATAAGTGTTACTTTTGAAATTAAGACAAAAAAGCTTTTGAAAAAATCTGAAACAAACATATGTATTAAAATTACAATTAACCACATACATGATACCAAGTATGTGGCTCAAGATATTAGCTAAATAAATGAATGAATGAACGAGAGCTCTAGATACATTTGTTACGAACAGAAATGGGATGGAAAACAATTTACACTTGATTTTTATTACTGGTAACGTTTTTAACAGGTGACTACACCTTTTCAAGAACTTTTTCTTTATCTCTTAATACCACTGACTAGGGTCCACAGAAAAACAGAAGTGAAGACTGTGAAGGAAAAAGATGAACCAAAAGGAACTGAGCCAGGGTGGTGGCACACGCCTGTAATCTCAGCACTCAGGAGGCTGAGGCAGGAGGATCGCCGAGAGCTGGAGGCCAGGCTGGGCTACATATTGAGTTCAAGGCCAGCCTGAACTGCATAGGGGGACCCTGTCTCAATAAATAAATAAAAGGAATTGAACAACCATTATAACACGACTTAATAGCCCATTTGTTCCCCTAAGGGCCATCTCTTTAAGGACTTAGCTCTATCTCAGGAAGCAAAGAAACAACCGCCTGCAAGTGTCTTTCTCCAAGTGGGTCACAAAAGCCATCCCTTTCTCTGTTTTTCACAAGTGTCATCTGAACTGGTTTCAAAAGATCAGCAGGTTAGAAGACAAATAGGTCTATGCTGGAGCTAAAGCAATTCGGAGTTGTCACAACGAGAAGATGCTGGGCAGGAGTAACAGTTCGGCCACCTCACTTAATCTAAACTTCTTCAATCCTCTGGGAAAAAAAAAAAAGCTCTGCGCGGGACCATCACTCACCGAACCCCGTGAAGCCCATGGTCACCGCCAGCTGTGGGTCCGGTCCCGAGGCGTCTGGGGCTGTCACTGTGGCAGGAAGAGGAGAGGCCTCGTTAGTAAAGCGCCCCCGGGTCTCCGCCGCCCCAGCACTGCCCGCCCGCCCTTGCTCGCCTCACAGAGCCAACCTTGGCTGGGTGCCGATCGCTCCATAGCCGTCCTCGCAGCAAGACACCGGACTGCTACACCGCAAGACACTAACGCATTCTCCCGGCAAAGCGAGAGGAAGGGGCCCCGCTGACCGTCAGCGGCTTAGCAAACGCCAAGCGCGGCACCCTTCCTGGAGGAACGGACACTTGCGATCAAACGCCGCCCTAGCGGGCGGGCGGAGAAATAGCACAGAGGCCATTTCTGGCATCCCCAGTAGACCAAACAATTATCTGGAGTTTCTGCAAAACCCTTGACTTTTGTTTCCTTTCATTTCGTTTTGCTTTGTTTTGTTTTGTTTTCTTTTAGTACTGAGACCTAGGGCCTCTCTCCTGCTAAGTAAGTGTTCTACCACTAAGCTACATCCCCAGTTCAACTTCTTGACTTTTACGATGTGTTAACCCCAGTGGCAGGAATTTAGCTCAGTGGTTCTGCCACCTGCCTTACCAGCGCAAGATCCTGAGTTCTTTCCCGGTACCAAAAAACATACAAACAAACAAACAAAAAAATGTGTTAACCCTTATCTTAAAGGTGGGTGTGACAATCTCCCCACAAAGCCTCATGTGGTCATAGGTGGGGCTTTTCCCAGGTGGATGGATCTAGGGTGTGTGATAATGGGATTAAGGATGTGATGCTGGGATTAATGGTGTGATGCAAGGATTAAGGGGGCCCCACTCTGTGTGAGTGAGGGCAGGTAGCCTGGACAGAATATAAGGGACAGAAATATTCAGCCATGGTTTGTTGCTTCACTGCTTTGCTGCCCTGTTGCCTTCTGCCTGCCCTGCTTCACCATGGACTGTTTTACCTCTGCCATGCTCCTCTGCCATGCCAGGCTGTCTTGAAGCCAAGCCAGCCAACTATGGACTGAAAGAAACCTCTACAAACTGTAAGCCAAAATAAACCTTTCCTCCTTTAACTTTGAGTGTTGCAAATTTGTCTCAGCAAGGAGAAAAATAACTAAAACAGGTGTGATATTAACGTGACAGTTGTTTTCTATATAAGATATGTCAATATTATAAGTTCTACAAAACTCAGTGAACTGATATTTCTGAAATCACCAACTTTGATAGTTCCCAAATAACAAAGAACAAAATAAATTCACTAAATGTTATACAATCATACAGGGATAAAAAATGGATCAAAGTAGAAGACAGACCAGTAAATTTTAAATTAATGGGGATACAGTTCAGTGGTAGAGCACTTGCCTAGCCTCTGCTAGGTCCTAGGTTTGATCTCCAGCGCCACGCATAGACACATACATGCAAATGCACACATATACACCACAAATTCACTGGTTTCAAATTCTACATTTCAACTAATTTTAAGAAACTACCTATCACTTGTAATGTTTTGGTGTAGTACAAAAATAATATTCACAAGTATCTAAAAGGGCTATGAAAATATTCCCTTTCCCAAGTATGTAACTGAGGGTAGCTTTTTCTCATCCACTTCAGCTAAACACCATACAACATATCGATAGCAGATGCAGATATGAGAATCCAATACGTATTATTAAGCCAGATATTAAAGAGATTTGCAAAAATATGAAATAATGCTACGGCTCTCACTTAGTGTTTAGTTACAAAGTACAGTGACTTCTCATAATGTGTTATTTATATTCACCTGGATTTCCTTTGTTATACATCTAAATGAATTTAAAATTTTAATTTTCTTTTTGAGGTAACATATAATAAATGTAACTCATACAAAACAAAAACTCTTTGGAATCCTTTTTAAAGGAAACAAGAGATCCTGAGACCAAAATGTTTTAGAATGCCTACCCCAGAGACAACAACTCCCTGTAAAGGGCCAGAGGGTTAGTAATTTTAGGCTTTGTACCCTTCCAGGCTGTGTACTCAGTTCAACAGGTATAGTAGGAAATCAGCCATAAACGTGTATATATATATATACAAGTAACCGGTTGGATTAGAGGCTTGGGAAGTTGTTGCTATAAAACCTCAGAAATATTAAGAACAATTTGCTAGATCATATACATAATTTCTAGAGTTGAAAACTCTCAATTGTCTGTTTTGTGTTGAATTAAAAGCAAGCACCATGCCAGATTATCATATTTTAATCTGTGATCCACCAAAAATAAATAAATAAAAGTAAATTGACCCAGGCATGGTGGCACATACCTCTCATTACAGCAGTCTGAGAGGTTGAGGCAAGAGAATTGCAAGTTGAGGTCCCTCTTGTGCAATTTATTTTTTTCCTCCTGGGAAATTCAGCTAGATTTTTTCTCAAAATAAAAAATAATAGTGGTAGGGAAGAGGATATCAGAAAATGGAAAGACATCACTTGCTCCTGGGTAGGAAGAACCAATATTGTAAAAATGGCCATACTTCCAAAACTGCTATATAGATTCATTGCAATCCCAATGGAAATTCCAACAGCATATTTCACAGAACTAGAAAAAAACAATCCTAAAATTCATCTGGAACCAGAAGACACCTAGAATAGCATAAGCAATTCTAGGTAACAAAGACATGACAGGGGGTATCACAATCCCCAATGTGAAACTATACTACAAAGCCACTGTGATAAAAACAGCATGGTACTGGCAAAGAAACAGACCTGAGGATCAGACATGCTCAGACACCTCATCTTCGACAAAGGAGCCAAACACCCTCATTGGAGGAAAGATAGTCTCTTTCATAAATGCTGCTGGAAAAACTGGATTTCAGCCTGCCACAGATTGAAACTAAACTCATATCTCTCACCATGAACCACACTACAATCGAAGTGGATCAAAGATCTAAATATTAAAACAGAAACGCTAAACTTGCTGGAAGGTAGGCTAGGTAGAACTCTTGAAGACATCAGCATAGGAAAAGACTTTATGAACAAAACCTCAGTAGCATGGGAACTAGCACAGAGAATCAGCAACTGGGATCTCGTCCTATTAAAAACAAGAGAAACCACCAACAGAGCTAAGAGACAACCTACAGTGTGGGAAAAAAATTTTACTACCTGTTCCTTGACAAAGGATTACTACCTACAATATATAGGCCGGGGATTTAGCTCAGTGGTTTCGCTGCCTGCTGCACAAGCACAAGGACCCGAGTTCGATCCCCCGTACCAAAAAAAATAAAATAAAAAGAATTACAATATATAAAGAACTTCAAAAAAATCAGACCCCTCAATTTTTTTTTTTTTTTTGGTACCGGGGCTCAAACTCAGGACCTTGTGCTTGTGAGGCAGGCACCTGAACCACTAAGCTAAATCCCTGGCCCCCAGACCTCTCAAATTTAAAGATCCAAAAATGGGCATCTGAGAATAAACAGACATTTCTCAGACAAAGAAGTAAAAGTAGCAAATAAACATATGAAAAAATGTTCATCATCACAGGTCATTCAAGAGATACAGATGAAAACAACACTAAGATTCCATCTCACTCCAGAAAGAATGACTGCTATCAAGAAATCAACGAATAACAAATGCTGGTGGGGTTGTGGGGAGAATGGAACCCTTCTCCATTGTTGGTGGGAGTGCAGACTGGTGCAACCATTGTGGAAATCAGTATGGAGATACCTCAAAAAACTAGGATTACAGGTCCCATTTGACCCAGCTATTCCTTTGCTGGGTATCTTCCCAAAAGAATTAAAAGAATCATACTACAGCAATATATGTGCACCCATGTTTATAGTGGCACAGTCTGTAATAGCTAAAACTTAGAAACAGCCCAGTTGCCCATCGAATGAAGATGGGATAAAGATGTGGGTTTTTTTATAAAATGGAGTACTGCTCAGCAATAAAGAATGAGAATGAGAAACTAGAGTCATTTATGGCTAAATGGATCCACAGCGAGGCCATACTTTTAAATGAAATAAATAGGACAGAGGGCTGGGGCTTTAGCTCAGTGGTTCTGCTGCCTGCCTCGCAAGTGCAAGATCCCGAGTTCGAACCCCAGTACCAAAAAAAAAAAGGACAGACTTGTAAATACCGAATAGTTTCTCTGGTGTGAGAAAGTGAAAATGTAAATAAGAATCAAAATGTATAATAGATACTGTGAAATATGAAAAAAAGGTCTAAATGGGAGGAGGAAGTAGGAGAAGTAGATGAAAGGAAAGAAGAGAAAGGAAAAAATACGAGAAAAAGAAAAAAATGGAAAGAAAGTCTTTGTAAATAAGGAGGAGTGGAGGGGTTAAGAACCAAGATAGATTATGCAAAGGTACAAGATCCCAATGATGAATGCCACCATTCTGTACACCTAAATGTACCAATAAACTTAATGAAGAAAAAAAAAGGGGTGGGGATCTAACTCAAGACCCAACTGCCTAATTATACATATATAATAAAAATCCTACTTTTTCCTAGTACAGTAGACACTCCCATCTTGTTTCTTTTTCAACATTTTCAGTTACACATGGGTCAAACACAACCCAAAAATGTCAAATCGAAAACTCCAGAAATAATTCATAAATTTTAAATTGTGCACTATTGGTGTGAAGATACCTCACATCAATTTGCTTAGTCCTGCCACAGATGTTAATCGTCCCTTTGACCAGTATGCCCACATTGTGCATGTACATTGCACATGTGAGGTGTAGCATATGAAAGGAAGGTGCAGTAGGCAGTAAAAGAATTTACCAATGGTCAACGGAATGTAGGAAAGTTTTAAGAGTTTATTGATACACTGCAAGTGAACAGCAAGTGAATTCCAAGTGAGGACCAAAGCATTAATGTGAATGACTGGGGTTTTTATAAGGGTTTGAGGGTGTGAGAAGGGTATGATCAAACAAGGATCCCAGGGAGGCTTTTTTCTTACCTTTTTTTTCTGAAACACAGTCTCACTAGGCAGTCCAGGCTACCACCTGTGCTGCCACTCCTGGTCCAGGAAGGTTTTCTTCTTCTTTTCTTTTTTGGTACTGGGGATTGAAGTTGGAACCTTGTGCTTGCAAGGCAGATGGAACCACTGAGCTAAATCCCAGCCCCAAGGAAGGTTTTCTTTAGGTAAGCTTGCACTTTGTTTACCTCATGGGAGTAGTTGTATTTTGTCAATCATTATAAAGGAAACAATTTGACATGGCTTCACAGAAGGCCCTTAAGGACACTGTGTGCATCAACTCTGAGAAATGGTTTACAGACCATCAGGAAGAAATACGTGTGTCCTAAATCAAAGGGATGTTTAGATTCACTTTTATGTGTAGTTTTGCCTGTATAGACATGTAATATGTGACAGGTGATGGAGCAAGAGCTTTGTTCTTAAAAGTTGTAAATTAGAATGGGGAAAAAATAAGAACCAAGATATATCATGTAAAGGTACAAATTCCCAGTGATGAATGTCATCATATTGTATACTTAAAATGTACCAATTAACTTAATGAATAAAAAAAGTTATACATTAACTCATTCTCTGCTAGCAGTTAGCCTCCATGCTACTTTTAAGGTATCACAGTACTTGTGTTCAACTAACCCTTATTTTACTTAATAATGGCTCCCAAATGCAAACTTGTTGAAGTATAATTGTTCTGTCTTACTATTAGTTATGGTCATTAGCCTCTTACTGTGCCTAAATTATATATTAAACCTTACCACAGGTCTGTTTATACCAAAAAACATAAATATAGATAGCATTTTGTAGTAACTTTGGTTTCAGACATGGTCTTGGAACCAGGGGGCAGTACTGTACATTTGCCAGGAAGTCAAAATATAACTGTATTCTATAATGTCATAGAACTTTTAACATTTAGAAATTTACTCAAACATTTGTGGAAGTAATAAAGCAATTCAAATGGCAACAACCCCCACTACTCAGTTATTGATTTGCTAAATAACGAAGAACCTAACTAGATGTTTTGCCTAGGTTTATTTTGTTTTGTTTTGTTTGAAACGGTTCTCATATGAAGTCCAGGCTGGCCTCGAGCTCTCAGCTCAGATCTTCCTTTCTCAGCCTTGCCAGTGCTGGGATTATGATGTGCACCATGCCTGGTTGAAGTTTTTAAATAAGAGCTTCTCTCCTCCCCTCCCCTGTCCCCACCTTCTTTTGGTGGTATGGGGAATGGATGCTTAAGCATGCTACGCAAGGGTTCTGAGGTACAACTCCAGCCCAAAAAGTGCTTTTTCAAGACAGGTGTCCTAATTTATCCACTCAAGATTCCTCCTACAGGAAATGTAGCCTCACTTGTTCCTTTTTATCTTCTACTGCTGATTATACATCTCATTGGAAAAATTACAGTGATGCATTTGAATTGCTTTGCATGTCTGTTTCAGTGAAACACCTTGACAATATTTGTTATTCCCAGCACCAGGCACAGTTCCTGACAAAGTAGACATTCAGTTTCAGTTCCTGACAAAGTAGACATTCAGTTTCCTGAACCAACGGGTGCCTTTTTTTTTTTTTTTAAATAACAATTCCTGCACTAATAGTGCTAGGGATAAAAAGATGAATTAGAACTATCTGCTTCATCTGTGCAATGGGAGGAAAAACATGGAAGGGCCCATGTGCACGTAGCGAATACCTCCTTAAACACGTCATTTTTCACAATAACGGCCCACAGAGCCATTGGCGGAGATACGCAAATATAAAAGCCTAACAAATTTTAATTTATCCCGCCGCGCATGAGGAATAAAGTGAAATTCTGATTGACATGTAACATGTTTCTAACAAGCTACCCATTCCTAAATACCGTTTGAAGTTATTTAGGGCATCAAGGTCACTGATGCACGTACTCTTTAATAGTGGCAGTTGCTTGATTGTGCCTAGGGAAGCTCGAGGTCAAAGACCTGCACGCGGGGCAACCCAACCGAACTAGTACTGCACGGTCGGTCGCTGGTCAGACTCCCAACTCCCCTTCCCGGTTCTTCCTCCCTATTCCTTCCTCTCCTTCCCCTCGCCTTTCCCACTTCTTTCCCCGGTCCCTCCCCTTTCCTCTTCCCTAATCTATCTCGCCTATTTTCCCCCACCCCGCCCTATCCCCAAAGCCCCGCCCCTCGCCCCACCCTCAGCGTCCGGCCCTATCAACAGCTTCCTTTTCCAGTTCCCAAAGGGTGCCTTCCGGGTCTCTACCCTGAGCCGGAAGTGCGTCATGACCAGCCGCTGAGGCAGTCGTTTGGCGCGCGCGCCTTAAGCCGTGTGTCTGAGTTCACTTCTTGGGTCTTCTCGCAGTTCTCCTTGGAATTTGACTGTTTCTGGACTCTGGTGTATACAGTTTGCGAGATGCCGTCTTCTTCACTCGGCGCGGTGATGCCGGCCTCTACGTCGGCCTCGGCCCTACAAGAAGCTCTGGAAAGTGCAGGAAGGCTTATCGACCTCCAGTTGCAAGAAGACCGCATGTACCCGGACCTTTCCGAGCTTCTCATGGTGTCTGCCCCAAGTGAGTGATCGGTGCTTATTTGGTCTTCCTACTTTCTCCGCCGAACGAACTCGCCTGACTTTCTAACCTGGTCTTCATCCCAGGTTTGGTCCCGGAGAGGACATGCTGAGATTTAAGGCGCTGTTCGCCGGCTTTTTGAAAAACAGCAAAAAGCCTCTCTTCGTTGTTGTTGTTTACTTGCACTCACTTTCTTCATTATAGATATTTAAGCAAGCTCCCGGTGAAGCAGAGAGTCAAAAACTCCCCAACCCTAATGAGCGTCTCACTGTTCCCGATTGTTTATCACTAAGGCCGGATAAGTATCTTCTGATCCTTGTCCCATCTTTATTATTACTTGTATTAATAATTAAGTTGAAAGAGCAAACGAAGTTAATTTGGAGAATGTCATATTCTCTCCAAGATACCCTTTATTATGTATAGAGTTAGTGTAATATGAGTGATGAGAGGTGTTAAAAGACCTACCAGTGGAATAAAGAAAGAGAACTGGGAAATCAGCAGTGCTGATGGACAACGAGGGTATATTGTCAACAAAAGAGATGACTGGAAAGTAATTCGTTTAACAGTTTTAAATTACTGAATTACATAAGTTGCTAGAAAGAGTGACCCTTTGGGGAGGTGAAAATTCTACAAAAGCAGAGACCAGAAAGAAAGCTACAGAAGAGATTTTTGGTGAGCAAGAACCAGGATAATTAACCAGGATAATCTGTGCAGTGTGAACTGAAAACACACCTCTGGCAGCTTATGAAAAATCCTAAATTCAGACCTAGGCATAGTGACGCATGCCTTTAATCCTATCTACTGAAGAGACTGAGCCAGGATTACTTGAGTCCAGCAGTTCAAGGCCAGCCTGGACTACATAGCAACACCCTGTTTCAAAAAACAAAATACTGGAGAAGTGGACAGCAATATAAATTAAACATGATTACATATATTGGTGATTGTTAAAGCTAGGTAATCAGTACTTAGGGATTTATTGTATTTTTTTATGCTTGTGTGCATTTTTAAAGTTTTATACATTCTAAAATTGTTTTGTATGTCAGTTTTCCCCAAAATCTTTGTTTCCAGGGAGCCTGAAAATGTGCCTTGGGTAATTCAGTTTTCAGTCAGGTCTGATGTTCAGGATCAGGAGGCTCAAATTGAGTAGACCAGCCCACTCCTGCCTCTTGTGACCAGTCTGCGTTTTTCTCCTGTAAGATATTGCCTGTGTGATAGCATTTGCATTGGGCCTATTGGTCTGGGGGAAAAATCTAAAAGGAAAAAGCATGGATTGTTTTAATCTATGAACGTTTAAAGTAGCAAACACAATAAGCTTTTTCCTTGAGTAAGTATTTTGCTTGCTCACAGTTGTTTCATCTTTTGATCCCCCCAAATTTTATAAATATTTTCCGGGGGGATTGGGGGAACCTGAGATGTCTTCACTGAAGAGGGTCTATGCTGCTGTACAGTAGAATCTGCTCTTAATCTGCAAATCTGTATAGGCACACTGCAGCAATGTATTTGTGCAGTGTAAAACAAATTTAAGAGTTAAAATAAAATCAATATTGCAGAGAAGCCACTTTGGTTATTTTATAGGGAAGCATTCAGTTACTCTTCACTACGCACAGAAAATGGTTTCTCCACCTGCTGTGCAAGCGCAAGGACCCGAGTTTGATCCCTGAATCCTGCCCATCCTGCAAAGATCAGTCTTTTCCTGTACCTTTTCCTGACACCAGCCCATGATGATCAAAATAAAAGCAACACTTAGTATCTAGACTATTAATGAAAATGTGATCATCAAGACAGATAAAGTATTTAAAGTGATGCTGGCTACAGACTGCTCCCACTATGCGAAAGGTAACCCTTATATGGATTCTCCACAATCTCCACAATTTCTTGCGTTTCCAAGCAACAATCAGTGCTCCACATATGCATGCATATGCACTAGAACTTTTATTTGATCAATTGCAAGAAGGAGCTAAAGCTCTTGATGTAGGATCTGGAAGTGGAATCCTTACTACATGTTTTGCACGTATGGTTGGATGTAATGGAAAGGTCATAGGAATTGGTCACATTAAGGAACTAGTAGATGACTCAATAAATAATGTCAGAAAGGACAATCCAACACTTTTGTCTTCAGGGAGAGTACAATTGGTTGTGGGAGATGGAAGAATGGGATATCCCGAAGAAGCCCCTTATGATGCTATTCATGTAGGAGCTGCAGCCCCAGTTGTACCCCAGGCACTAATAGACCAGTTGAAGCCTGGTGGAAGATTGATATTGCCAGTTGGTCCTGCAGGTGGAAACCAAATGTTGGAGCAGTACGATAAGCTACAAGATGGCAGCGTCAAAATGAAGCCTCTGATGGGGGTGATATATGTGCCTTTAACAGATAAAAGCAGTGGTCCAGGTGGAAGTGATTTTCTCTTCTCTTTCTTCTTCCACACATGCAAGGTGAAAGCGTGTGGATTTTAAGACATTAGACTACAAGAGCTGTTTTTTGATTGCCACCTTCATGCTAATTCATTAAAAGATCGGAAATTCATTACATTAAGCTTGAAATAAAGAAAAATATTTTCCCATTTCACACTAGTAAAATAATAGAAAAATATTGAACTATTAAACCCGATATTTCCTTTAAGAAATCTTTAATAACTTTCCGTTGGCTTTGAAATCAGTAACTGCCCTCTTTTTTTTTTTTTTTTTTTTTTTGGTAACAGGGATCAAACTCGGGTTCTTGTGTTTGCGCACCAGGCAGCAAAACCACTGAGCTAAATCCCCGGCCCAGTAACTGCCCTCTTTTAACAGTGGAATTTTTTTCAGCCTACTCTGTCGGTTCAGAACTCATTTCTTTGTACCTTTAGAGCCACTATATGCATATTTTTTGTGACTTGAAAGGCTGCTTTATATGCAACTGATGATCAGTACATTATTATTATTATAAATAATGCTTTGTTTTCCTTTTGTAGATAATCCCACTGTTTCTGGCATGTCTGATATGGATTATCCTCTACAAGGACCTGATTTACTGTCAGTACCCAATCTTCCAGAGATCAGTTCCATCCGAAGAGTTCCTCTTCCTCCTGAACTTGTTGAACAGTTCGGACGTATCCTACTACTTTGTGTTTAAATATCTGAAAAATGTTAAAACTTGTATTTTCATTATAATTCTTGTTTTGTGTTTAGTTAGTATGGTGTACATGTGTTCATTTAAATGTTTTTATTTTAAATACATTTCAAGCTAGGCGTGGTAGTGTATACATTTAATCCCAGCACTTGGGAAGCTGAGACAGGAGGATCGAACTTTTGAGGCAGCATGGGCAAGTCAAGGCTGGCCTGGATTTTGTAGCAAGACCCTGTCTGGAAACGAAAAACAAAAACATTTAAGTACATGGGTAGTTTGCTGTTTTTATACAGGACTGGACATAGGTTTGTTTGTGACAGTACCAGGGATCAAACCCAGGGCCTCACACATGCTAGCCAAGATCTACCACTGAACCACAACCAAACCACCTACCACAGGTCATGACATTTTTGATCATAAGCTTCAGGTCAAAAGATGTTGAAACAAGTACAAAAAAAAATGATGAAATTGAACTCTTTCTTCCTTACATCCATACTATCTCAGATATGCAGTGTAACTGCATGATGGGTGTGTTCCCTCCTATCAGCAGAGCATGGCTCACAATTGACAGTGACATATTCATGTGGAACTATGAAGATGGGTATGTATTTAAGGAGGTTTGCTTTAGTGTGATTTAGTCATCTTTATTAATCATTACTGCTAGTGTTCTACTCCTTGGATGCTGTCTGATTTATCTTCCATTCATTTAACATCCAGGTCAATGTCTGTTAATACTCATACTAATCATTGGAGGTGTTAAAATGTGGGTTCTGTGTTAGGAGTTATCTACATTTGTAACCAGCTCTCAGGTGTTAGCCTAAGCGTCAGTCTTTTTGTGCAGATGTGTGTGAGAAAGATAGTTTGACAGTTTTAAAGACTTTTGTTTTCCTTGCATTTCTATAGAATGGGCATCTAGTAATTTATTGAAATGGCTTAACAGTTTTGTTGTCGTTTTTTGTGGTCTTCACCTTGTATTTAAATTAAAGGTTTTGAGCACCTTCAGGTGAGCGGATGGGCCCTTGTTCGAGCCGGGCCTGGCCGGCTGTGGACCTATCACTCCCCTCACCTCGGGCCGGGATGCCGCGGGCACGGGGAGTTACTGCGGAGAGCTGGCCGAGGACGAAGACCAGAGCACAAGGGAGGGCTGGGGAGGCCGAGCGGGGCCGGTGGCCACGCCCTTCTTCCTGCTGTACCCAGGCGTGTGGTGCGGCCTGCCCCCAGTAGCCCCCGCGCGCCTGGAGGACACCGCTGTCCGGGCTATCCGCTGCCCTTCCTGCTGCCAAGCCTCCCGAGTGTCGCCGGGGTCGGCAGGCACCACCCCAGTTATCTTATGGCTTAGGAGCGCATGAACCTGATGAACATGGCCAAGCTGAGTATCAAGAGCTTGATTGAATCAGCTGAACCTGGGCAGGACTCTGGACTCTGACTATGCGCGCCCTCCAGCAGTTCTTTGTGGGGATGGAACACTGTCTGAAGCACAGCTTGAGAGCCAGGAAAACTTTTCTTGAACAAAATAAATCCTTCTGGGGACCTCTAGAACTGGTAGAAAATCTTGTTCCAGAAGCTGCAGAGATAACAGCAAGTTTTAAAGATCTTCCAGGACTGAAGACTCCAGTAGGCAGAGGAAGAGCCTGGCTTCGTTTGGCATTAATGCAAAAGAAACTTTCAGAATATATGAAAGCTCTGATCAATGAAAAGGAATTTCTCAATGAGTTAGTTCTATGAACCAAACGTGCTCATGATGGAGGAAGAAGGAGCTGTAATTGCTGGCCTGTTGGTGGGGCTGAATGTCATTGATGCTAATTTCTGCATGAAAGGAGACGATCTGGACTCTCAGGTTGGAGTTACCAACTTTTCCATGTATCTCAAGGATGGGAACAGCAGTAAAGGTAGTGAAGGGGATGGTCAGATTACTGCAATTCTATTTACCAGAAGAACTATGTTGAAGAACTCAACAGACATCTGAATGCTACAGTAAATAACTTTCAGACAAAAGTAGATGCATTAGAAAAATCCAATACTAAACTGACAGAGGAGTTTGCAGTTGCAAACAACAGGATTATTACCTTGCAAGAAGAAATGGAACGAGTTAAAGAAGAAAGCGCCTACATGTTGGAATCCAATCGGAAGGGTCCTAAGCAAGACAACTGCTAACAGGCAAGCACTGAGTGAAGCAAGAAAACATTTAAAGGAGGAGACACGGTTATGATTGGATGTGGAGAGGGAGCTGGAGCTCCAGATTGGCATACAGCAAGAGATGGAACTGGCCATGAAGATGCAGGAAAAGGACGTCTGTGAGAAGCAGGAGGCACTGATAAATCTCTCAGGCAGCAGCTGGATGACCTCAGAGCACTCAGGCATGAACTGGCCTTTAAACTACAGAGTTCAGACTTAGAAGTAAAACAAAAGGGAACTAAACAGTTGTTTGGAAGAGAAGACTAATCAGATGGCTGCTACCATTAAACAACTGGAACAAAGATTGTGCCAGACTGAGCAAGGGCGCCAGTCTGCAGAGTTGGACAGCCGGCTCTTCATACAGGACTTCGAGGACGAGATCAGCAGTCTGCAGCTGGAAATGGAGGAGCTGACCCAGCAGTGGAACCAGCTTGAGTTACAACTAAAACAGGAAAGAGAAAGATTACTGAACAATAGGAGCCTGCCACGAAAGGGTTTGCACAAGCCAAACCCCAACTCAGATGAGAGGCACAAAATTCAAGAGGAAAATGTTAAACTAAAAAAGCCCCTGGAAGAAAGTCACAGGCTGCATTCTCATTCTGCAGATGAACAGAATGTGTGTAAGGACTGCAGAGGGACCTGCAGGTCCTGCTCCACAGAAGTGCTGCCTCTCCCTGAAAGTATCCAGCCCACGCTCCTTGGCAACCCCTCACAAGCAGCTCACACAGGAGTGTTCCAGCAGCCTATCCTAAGGCTGGCGGCCAGAGCTATTCTTCCCCTGCGGTCAGGATCCCTAACACCTGTCCTCAGAGTCCACAGAGCTGCCAAGGATGACTTCATAAGCCAGGTCCAGAGAGGAAAGCATCCTTGGGGTGCTGGAAGTTGTGTGCATTTTCCCTAATGACTAGCTCAATAGAGGTTCTGAGTTGAACCTTTTTGATTTCAAAACAAACAATGTGCAGGGCTTAGTTGGAAGGGCTACTTTTATGAACAGTGATGGCAACACTGGGGTTGATGTACTACAAGATGTCCAAGCAGACAGGAATCGGGCTGGTAGTGTAAGGCGCTTGTATAGCATGTAGGAGGCCCTGGGTTTCCTCCCCAGGGGAAAGATCAAAGTAGAGATGAAAATGAGGTGCTGCTAGATGTAAACATTATTTCCTCTTCACCCCCATAACTACCTCTTAGAGTACCTCTACCAAACTGAATCCACACTCAGGGAGAAGAAAGTAAAGAATAATATAAATCTGAATGTATTGAAAATAGTGTAATAGAATTTCAGGACCAGAATTTGCTGGTCTTGGCCTACAAATGTTTTCATTAGCAGAACAAGAAAGAACTTGTTTTTTTCTCCTTTATGGCTTCATAAGAAAGTCTGCCCTTTCCAGAATTCCTGACTACCAAAAAGCCATTGCTCTTCCGCAGTCCCCCAGGTCATGATGGGAATTTATAAGGAGTTCAGAAGGAAGTTTGTCTTCCACAAATAGGAAGTGCTGATGAAACCAAAGCCAAGTCAGGTGTGGCACACAGCAAGTTGAATTTGTTGATAGCTGAGAACAGTAGCTCAGTATGTATTAAGTGGTTCCTTGAATGAGAAATTCCTTACTTTGAGCTAAGAATCAGAGCTGGTAGACAGGTTGTTTTGGAAAGGGTGACACTCAAACATCTCTCAGTGAGAAATCCTTTGGGAACACAGTGTGTTCAGCATGAACTTGATTATGTTACCAATGTCTGGGTTGTTGGTTCCAGTTAGGACCTAAGAGGATACAACTTTGTAACTGGTTTAGAAATTGGGATATAAATACCTTAGACCATCATATTATTTGGTAAAACGGTTAAACCTGTGAAAAGCTTGTTGTGTAAGTCTGGCCTGTTACTTGATGAAGCTAAAGTTTTAAGAGTACTAAGGGAATACAAAGTAGTAATTCTGGCCTAAAATAAAAAATAAATAAATGTGTTGAATAGAGTCTAAATGAAGGCCCAAGGCAATCTTGCTTATAGTAGATTGATCTGGTGATCTTCCTTTTGACTTTTTAGAGAAAAATATAGTTTTGGGCCAGGTATTTAGCTCAGTGGTTCTGCCGCCTGCCTTGCAAGCACAAGGTCCTGAGTTCAATCCCCGGTACAAAAAAATAGAAAGAGAAAAAGTAGTTTTATTTTCTCTTGAACATCTCCTTAAGTGCAGTACAAAATAACCTGTAAGAGGGCCTGTAGAACGGTGGCACGTGCCTGTAATCCCAGCACTCAGAAGGCTAAGGCAGGAGGATTATTCTGAGTTCCAGGTGAGTCTGCACTACAGAGTGTGTCAAAAAAAGAAAAAAAAAGGGGTGCTGGGGATTTAGCTCAGTGATTCCACCTCCTGCCTCACAGCGCAAGATCCCAAGTTCAGAGTTCAATCCCCAGTACCACAAAAAAAAAAAAAGAAAAGAGAGAAAGAAAGCCCAGATAATTAAAATGTTATTCTTACTCTGAGTAACTAATGTTCTTTTTAGGAACATGGTCACCGCAAATTCAAAAACTATATCATGAATCAAAACTGACACTATGTAACAGCTTGAATTTGTAGCTTATGTGAAATAATGTTTCAAAGTAAAGGTTACATATCTATTTTTACTGTTATGTTAATAATCATGGTAGCAGTGATGTGTGATTGTGATTGTTCCTTATGTACCTTGAGGGTTGGGCCAGTTTGTTGTTACCATAACCATCTTTATGCTAAAGAATAGAACGTTTAATTTATGCATGTATTTCTTTGAGAAAACACAATGCAAAAAAAATTACAGAATAGATAAATGTAAGAATAATTATTTTACTTAAAAATTTTTCACTTTACTGAAATTTTTACATTTCCATTAACATCTAACTTTTGTTGTTGTTTTTGTTTGTTTTATAAGACAGGGTCTCACTATGTAATTCAGGCTGGCCTTGAACTCACTCTGTTGCCCAGGCTGGCCTCAAGACTTGCAGTAACCCCCCTGCCTCAGTCTCATAAGAATCTAACATTCATTTAACAAATATTCATTGTGCTGTCATGTATTCCCCACCATCCTACCAGGAATAGTACTGAGTGAAATACACATGCTCCCTGCTTTAGTTTGAGCTACTGTCACAGAATACCATAGACTGATTGACTTATAAACAACAGAAATTTGTCACATTTCTGGAGGCTGGAAATCCAGCATCAAGGCACCAGCAGATACGGTGTTTGGTGAAGGTCCACTTATGGGTTCACAGATGGCCATCTTTTCCTCTGTCTTTACATAGCAAAAGGGGCAAGATGGGTCTTTACAAGCTACTCATCCCATTCATGAGGACTCCACCCTTGCTAACAAATACTATCACATTGAGAACTAGGGTGTAATATGGGTCTGGGGGAGGGCACAGTCTGTAATAACAATATCTGTTCAAACTACAACTCATTTTAGGAAAACTATTTGAAGAATATACTTGTTGAAAAAAAATTAAGGCATAGGTACTAGGTATCTACAAATTCAGTTTTGTAAAAACTTTAGACTTAGCTCCAGTTATTCAGTTTTCTTCCTGTTATGCAAGATATGATAAAAAATGAGGGTTTAAATTTTTTTTTAATTATGGTAAAAGACACATTACCATTAATCTCTCCTTGCTGTGAACATGTATCCCATTGTTCTTGCCAGTTTCTGAAGCAGTTATAGAAGTCCTTTTTCATGTCTTTAGTTGCGTTGTCATGGCTGCATTGATGTCCTGAATTTATTCAAAACATTTATCTTTCATGGTCATTTTGACTTTGAGGAAGAGCGAGAAGTCACACAATGTCAGATCCAGTGAATAAGATGGATAAAGAACCAATGTAATGTTTTTATGAGCCTGCCTTGGCACTTGACAGTAGCATTACTATGTTTTTTATTACATCTCATGAAAGAGGACTTCACAACTGCTTTGTGTCATTTTTTTATTGAAAGACATCATGTATGATGTCCATGTATAGATAGTGAGATAGTAGGACAATGCAATAAATAGCATTAGTTCTTAGAAATGGGCGCATCTTTCTTGCTAAGGTATAGCAGATGGGCCTTTATTGTGGGAGGAACTGACTTTTTCTTATCAAGAGTTGAGCTGAGTTTAGGTTTTGTTTATTGTTAACCTCAGAATACCATCAGATTCCTTTAAAATTGTCTTAGACTTAAGATTCAGGTTGAGTTACTAGGGATTTGTTTCTCAGCATTCCTGTTCTACCTGAGGCTCAGCTCAAGCTTTCCTTGTGAGCTCCTCCTGAGAGGTTCCTATCCACACTCTTTTGCCCTTTCCCTCAGCGGATTTGCTGTTATTTGGTAATCGATGCCTGTAGTTCTCCACGTGGAGAGATGTCTGGAACGTGGTACAGCTTTCCCTGTTTTCTGGTTCTTGCTGAGCCAGGTTCAGGTATCTGTCCCTGGGGCTTGGGACTGAACTGCTTTTGTTTACTGGTTTGTTTTTTTCATTATATCTTATTCTCAAAATTATATAACTAGTAATGACCATTGTAAAATGAGACTTTGCTTTCTTTTTATGTGTAACTTGTTCTTCTTCAATCACTGACAGAGGAGACCTTGCCTATTTCGATGGACTTAGCGAGACGATTCTTGCTGTAGGGCTGGTGAAACCAAAAACTGGTAAGAAAACACAGGACGGGGCTGTCCTTGTGGACATGCAGACTAAATGGTTTAGGATTGGGTAATAATGCGTTCTAAGTAGTTGAATTTCCAACTGAAGTTTTGTAATTAGGACTATTTAACTGTTTACTCTGATATTGTGAGGCTGTCTTTTAAATGTTAAACTATAATTGTTTTGTTTATTTTGGTACCTGGGCGCTTGCGAGGCGGCAGGCGGCGGAACCACTGAGCTAAATCCCTGGCCCCCTGTTTGCTTTTTCTTAATTTGCCCTTTTTTTGCATTGTAGATATTTCATCACTCAATTTAGTGTAAAAAAAACCCATTTTTGTCTCTGCAAGTTTTTAGTCATGATAGCCAATGGAGTTTAGAAGAGTTCATAATAAACTTTAGACAAATAACAAGCATTGCTTTAGATTGTCAAATTCATAATGTGAAATATTTTATCCATTCTGATAAGCAGAATGCATTGACTTAAATTTAAAATACATCTTTAGGGTTTTTGTTTTGTTTGAGACAGGGTCTTGCTGTGTAGTTCAGGCTGGTCTTGAACTTACTGTTTAGTCCAGGCTGGCCTTGAGCTCGAAGCAGGCCTCCTGCCTCGGGCTCCCAAGTGCTGGGATTACAGGTATGGGCCACTACACCTGGCTAAAATACTATCTTTTGAATGCACCTTTCTACAAGAGGCAGTAATTGTGATGGGAATGTAACTAAGTGCTAGAGCCCTTGCCTAGATAGCATGTGTGAGGTCCTGAGTTCAGTTCCCAGTACCAAAAAAAACAGTATGCTTTAGCTGAGTACGGTGGCACATTCCTGTGATTCCAGGACTCTGGATATCTGAATAGCACTCTGAGCATCTGAGAATAGCAAGTTTAAGCCCAGCCTAGGCAATTTAATAACTTAGCAAGACTGTCTCAAAATAAGGAGAGAAAATATCTGGCTGAGGATGTAGCTCTGGGTTCAATACACAGAACTATGGGAGAGTAGTGATGGAGTAGGGGAGGCAATAATCAACAAAACTCAATTCTTGGCAATGCCTTTGTAGAAGTGGCTCTTTGGTACTAGTAACTTATTTAAACGATCAAACAGTAATAGTTTAACATCAGAATTCACTGAGCTGGATTGAGGCATCTCATGTACCATTTAATCAGTAGCTTAGTAATGCTTAGATGCTGGATGTTTTTCTGAAGTACTTCCCTACTTTTGTCTACTTTAGGCATCTTTCAGCCTCATGTACGGCACCTCTTGGTTCTAGCAACTCCTGTGGATATAGTAATTCTAGGACTCAGCTATGCTAATTTGCAAGCAGGTATGGTAGCCCACGTTATGCTTTTTAAAATACAGAAATACTACCTCAATTCATGAATGCTTCTGTTTGCCAACAATTTGGTTCACAGACAAAAGCAGTTGACAAAATTTTGCTTCCATTCACAAACTTCATTAGGTCATAAACATGACCATGGGCATCTTCCCCAAAATCATAAAAAAAAATTAAGTTTGTAAACTGAAGTACCAGTATAATGTGTTACTCAATTAGTATTATAATTAAAACTAATGTGGTTGATTTGTTGAATTTTATTGATTCATATTAATGACTGTACTACACAATTCTCAGGCTCTTTACCAAAATTTAGTAATTTTGGTTTGACTTTTGATCAGTATTCTACTATGTAACATTATGTGTAGGTTCTATGTAACTCAAATAATCAAATTCTTAGTATCAGACCTTTATTTTAGGAATTTAAGAATGGTATAGAAGCTTTTAGATGTATTAAGAATTCAGGAAGCATAGTAATCTAAAGATAATACAAAGATTATTTTAAACTTTAAAAAGTAATAAACATTCTTGTATTTTTTTCTTTTTAAAAAAACAGGTTCTGGAATTCTTAATGACAGCATGTCTGGTGGAATGCAGTTGCTTCCAGATCCTTTATATTCTCTTCCCACTGATAATACTTACCTTTTAACAATTACTTCCACTGATAATGGCAGAATATTCTTGGCTGGAAAAGATGGCTGTTTATATGAAGTAGCATACCAAGTAAGCATGACATTTATAAACATTCCTTTTTTCTCTCTGATGGAATAGGGGAAGTACAGACTTTTGTTTTGATTTTCTAATTACATAATATATTCTTAGGGAAAATATTCAAACAAATAAAGCTGTAGTATTTTGTCACTGTACCATTCCTATAAAACCCAGCCCTCTTCCCCAGATGTAAAAAACCATTATCAATTTTTTTTCAGTGTTAGGGATTGAACTCAGGGCATTACACATGCTAGGAAAATCCTCTGCCACAGAAGTATGTTCTCAGCCCTCATTTTATGTAAATACATTGATGTATATATGTGTAAATATTTATATATATGTATTTATGCGTATGTGAATTTAATACATAGTTTACTTTCACAAATGTATGTTTTTACATTATTGACTATTCTCACAATTGGCTTTTCATTTAACATATCTTTTTTTTTTTCACTTAACATATCTTGACTTTCATGGTCAGGTATTTGGTAGATATTTTATAGGATTCAACTCAATAAATTTTGAAGAGTTTATCTCACTTTGTATAATCATTAGTATGTCATGAAGACTTGAATATATTAAAAACTAAGGTTATATACTAGCTTTTATGACTTATATACCTTTACCAGTCTTCTTTTTATTTTTCTTTTTAAGGCAGAAGCAGGTTGGTTTAGTCAAAGATGTAGGAAGATAAACCACTCAAAGAGCTCACTTTCTTTCCTTGTTCCTTCCTTGCTACAATTCGCATTCTCAGAAGATGGTAAGTAGAAAACAAATTTGGCAAATAAAAAACAATTTTTAACATATTCTTAACATTTTCATCAGATTTTTATGTGTGTGTGTGGTGCTGGGAATTAAACCAAGAGCCTAGCACATGTTAGACAAGGGCTCTTCTACTGAACTACATCCCCTCCCCTGGAAATTCTCATTTTATTTATTTTCTCAGGTTTTTGGTTTTTTGTTTTGAGACAAGGTCTCGCTTTGTAGTTCTGGCTGCCCTTAAACTCACTGTGTAACACAGGCTAGCCTCAAACTCACAGCAGTCTTTCTACCTCAGCCTCCCTAGTGCTGGATTACAGATGTGCACCACCACAACCAGTAGAAATTCTCATTTTAATTCATAACACTTGTCATTTTAACTATCATTTGTTACATACTCATTAGATCAAAAGAATCTTAAAGGGTCCAGGGGTCATAAAACATAGAGATAGTATGGATTTTTTTTTTTTTAATCAAGCTACTCATTTCCTATAAATGCAGCATTGTAGAACATGTGTCCAAAACAGCTATACACACGTAAACCAAAATGTGAATATATATACACATATGCACAAAGACACAGGGACAGAGAGAGAGGGAGATTTTCTGACATTTAATATGTGGTTTCCCTGGTCTAGAACAAATTCTCAATATGAAATGTGTATGTCTGAGTTTTTTAATGAGTTAAGAAATTTAAATAGGTGAAATCATTTTAAAATTCTCAAAATAAGGTAAATACAACTTAAAAATGTTAATATGACTAAATTTTTGGTCCTGAGCTAACAGTTGGGGAATATTCTGACAGGTGCCTTGTTAGACAATTTTATCATTGTGCTAAAATCATAGAATGTACTTAAGCAAACTAAGATGCCTACGACATCTCCACATGATATGGGACCGAATTTTATGTGTGTGGTCCATTCACTGAAATGTCCTTATGTATTACATAATTGTAATTTCTTTCCCTTCATATGAATTATTAAACTAAAATGAAAGTTTCTTTTCTTTTTCCTCTTAGTACTAGGAATTGAACTGAGGCTCTCATGAATAATAGGCAAGTTCTCTACCTCTCAGCTATATATCCCCAGTCCTTTATACAGTGGTACTTCGGTTCACAAACTTTATTCTTTCCACAAATTGCAACCAGAATCAAGGAATAAATTAATTGATCAACCAAGATACCATTATATTTTTAAAAATTAATTTTATATACAATATAATGACATTCATCATTGGAAATTTGCACCTTTACATAATCTCTATTGGTTCTTATTTTTCCTCCATTCCCCTGCCCTCCCTTCAACCCCTCCAACCCTCTCTATTTACAAAGCCTTTGTTTCCATTTTTCATTTTCTTATATTCCATTCCCTTCTTTCCTTTCCCCTTCCCTTCCCACTTCCCCTGTCCCTTTGGACCTTTTCTTCCTATTTCACATTATCAATTATTCGTTTCAATCATTTTAATCCTTATTTACACTTTCAGTTTCTCACACTAGAGAAACTATTTGGTATTTACACATGTGTGCCCTGTTTATTTCACTTAAGAGTATCACCTCAATGTGCATCCATTTAGCTATAAATGTCTCTAATTTCTCTTTTATGGCTGAGTAGTACTCCATTTTATTTAAAAAAACCCACATTTTCTTTATCCAGTCTCCAGTTGATGGGCAATTGGGCTGCTTCCAAGTTTTAGCTATTACAAATTGTGCTGCTGTGAACATGGGTCCACATATATTGCTGTGGTATGATTCTTTTAATTCTTTGAGGAAGATACCCAGCTGGGGAATAGCTGGGTCAAATGGGACTTCCAGTCCTAGTTCTTTGAGGTATCTCCATACTGATTTTTCCACAGTGGTTGTACCAGTCTTCACTCTCACCTGCAGTGGAGCAGTGTTCTCTTTCCCCACAGCCCTGGGAGCATTTGTTATTAGTTGATTTCTAGATAGCAGCCATTCTGGGTCTGGGGTGAGGTGGAATTTCAGTGTTGTTTTCATCTGCATGCCCCAGACGACCAGTGATGTTGAACATTTTTTCATATGTTTATTTGCTGTTTCTACTTCTTTATCTGAGAGATGTCTGTTCATTTCAGATGCCCATTTTTGGATTGGGTCTTTAAATTTGGGAGGTCTGATTTTTTTAAGTTCTTTATATATTCTAGATAATAGACCTTTGTTTGAGGAACAGCAGGTGAAAATTTTTTCCCACATTATGGGTTGTTGGTGGTTTCTCTTCCTGTGCAGAAGCTTTTTAGTAAGAAGAGATCTCACTTGTTGATGGTGCAAGTTCACAGGCAACTGAGGTTTTGTTCATGAAATCTTTTCCTACACCAATGTCTTCAAGAGTTCTACCTAACCTCTGTTCCAGCCATTTCAGTGTTTCTGTTATAATATTTAGATCTTTAATCCATTTTGATTTTAGTTTAATGCACATTGAGAGATATAGGTGTAGTTTTAATCTTTGGCAAGTTGAGAATGACCTGTGTGCAGGTGAAAAGAATGTGTATTCTGATTTTGTGGGGTTGAAGACTCTAAACATCTGTTAAGTTCATTTGTTCAAGAGTTTGATTGAGTTCTACTATTTTGTTGCTTATTTTTTGTATAGTTGATCTATCTAGTTGTGATAGTGGGGTAGTGAAGTCCCCTACTGTATTATTGTATTAGTGCTTATTTGATTTTTTATGTCTGTTAGTATTTGTTTTATATAGTTGGGTGCAATAGTGTTTGATGCATATATGTTTATTATTGTCATCTTTTCCTCTTGGTTTGTTCCCTTTAAAGGATATAGTGTCCTTCTTTGTCTCTCTTAATGTGTTGGTTTGAAATCCACTTGATCTGCAAAGAGGATAGCTACTCATGCTATTTTTCGGGTTCCTGTCACATGGAGCATTGTTTTCCACCCTTTAACTTTCAGTCTGAGTTTCTTTTTGAATTAAGTGTGTTTCTTGTATGCAGCATATTGTTGGATCCTTCTTCTTGACCCATTCTGCCTGTCTATTTCTTTTGATTGTTAAATTGAGACCATGAGCATTGATGGTTATAACTGATATGAATTGACTTGTCATTGTCATGACATTTTCTTTCTGTTGGATTCTCCCCCTTTGCATTTAATTTCTTGTCATGCCAGATGGATTCATTCTGCTGGGCTTCCTGGGGTTGTGATCCTCATTGTCTTCCTAGGATATTGTCTAAAATATTTTGGAGTGCTTGTTTGGTATTCACGAAGTTCCTAAGGTGCTCTTTGTCATGAAAGTATCTTATTTCTCCCTCAATTTTGAAAGATAGTTTTGCAGGGTACATCAGTCTGGTTTGGAGGCTGTTTTCCTTTAGGGCTTGGAATGCATTGCTCCAAGCTCTTCTTGTCTTGAGAGTTTGCATTGAGAAGTCTGGTGTGATTCTGATGAGCTTTCCTTTGTATGTGCTTGTTTCTTTTCTCTCACTGCTTGTAGAATTTTGTTCTTCTGTTGGGTTTCTGGAATCTTAACTATTATATGCCTTTGTGTAGGGTTTTTTTTATCAAGGCTATTTGGAGTCCTATATGCCTCACCTATCTGTATGTCAAGTTGTTTTCCCTTGCTTGGGAAATTTTCTCCCATCACTTCTGTGAATAGTGTTTTTATGTTGTCTGCACTCTCTCCTGCTTCTGAATTGACTCAGACCAGTCTTCTGTTATTCTTTTTTTCTTTTTTTTTTTAATCTTCAATGCTTTCTCATTTATTATTTAGGCCATATACTTATGTTGAAAATGGAAGTGAATTTTTCAATTGCTTTTTAAAAAAGTAAATAGTAATTAATGAATTTACTGTTATACTCAAAATCATCTACATTTAAGGTGAGAATCTTTGCCAATAGAAAGGCGCTGCTCCAAATTGTGAATGGTATTATGAAGAATTGCAATTTCTTCAGTTTTTTTCTTCATGAAGATGTTGAAGCTTCCTTGTGTAGATACTCTGGAGAAACAGCATTTGGATATGGTTTTGATTTAGTTTGAACTCTTGCTAGTTTGACATCAAACTCCAGCTGTAGTTTGATTATTTCATTTTGCTTTTGTTTTTCTTGCGTTATTAACTTTGCATTTAACTCTGAGATTTCCATCCCCATTTTCTTTATTAGATCTTTGTGCTTTTCTTCATTTAATTCAACTTTTTTCTGCATATCTTGATAAAGTTTGCTTATTTATCTTATGTTCTTCCTCTTTGATTTTCATTTCGTGTACAAGTTTGGCAGTATTATTCTTATAGTCCTATTTGTGAGATTTCAGCTTTTCCCTTGTCCTGTCAGCATTTCTTTTTAGTTGTTCATTTTCACCTCTTAAATTTTGTTGATATTCAGTGCTCTCTTGTGCCCCTTTTATCATATCCTGAAGAGCAGCACATTCTGTTTTAATTGAGCCTTCCTTTGTTTGCATTGCTTTTAATAAACAGGTACTCTTTTCCAATTGAATTTCCAGTATGTTATTCTTTCCACTGGTTTCTATCATTTTCTTTTTATTTGTGAAAAATCCTTTATAAGTTTGTCAATGTTCATACTGCTAATCTTCTTTGTCCATTCTTTGCTACTTTGATCCATGCTTGAATTGCTGTTGTTCCTGGTTCCTCAAAGTCTCCCCCATCTCAATTGGCAGTCCAGTCTGGTCTGCCGCGATTATTGTCCCAGTCTTATATTATTCTTCTTTGCATCTTCTAGCAGCTGCTGGATTGATTTCTCTTGGTCCCTTACAATTTTAAAGAAATTTTTCTTTTCCTGGTCAGTAATTGCAATCTTATCTTCTATATCTGAAATTCTGTCCTCACATTGGGTCATTCTGCTGAGTACACTTTCAATGGAGATTTTAATCTGGAAATCTGCATCTGTTTTATGGATTTCATTTGTTTCCTATATTGGGATTCCATCATGTTCTTCAGTTCCTTTATTTTTTTATGTGTGTCCTGTCTAGATTTATTAATCATGTCTTGCAGTATGGCCATAATCTCTGTTGTTATCTCAGAAATTACTTGTGATGTCATTTTTTCCAGATGCTCTTTTGTTGCCAGTTCAGGGAGTCCAGGTTGTTGAGTATCAGATTGTTCCATCTTGTTTCCCTTTGGGGTTGCTGTAGGTGATCTGGAAATCTGTTTTTGATGCTTGTTTCCGTGTCTTCTCGTTTCATGAGAGGGAGGGGTGTGTGCTGCTGCCTCCCGAGGGCTCACTTCCTTGACGCTGGGGGCTGCTGTGCTCCTCGCCCTGGGGGCGATGCTATGGCGTCTCAGAAGGCTCCTCCGCGCTGGGGTCAGTGTTATCGGTACCACTGTATATTTAAGGTCGTCCCCCCCGCCCCGTACCATGGATCAAACTCTGGATCTTGAGCTTGCAAGGCAGGCACAGTACCACTGATCTGAATCCCTGGCCGTATTTTTAAATTTTGAGTCTTTGTCCTAAGTTGCTAAGAATGTCCTCAAACTTATGATCCTTCTTCCTCAGCCTCCCAAGTAGCTGGGATTATAGCTATGTGCCACTGAGTCAAGCTCATTCAATAAACACATAGACTAATTATGCTTAGAAGTTGTGTTTTAAGAAATTCCAAACATGTTCAAATGAGAAGGGGATGTTGGGGTGGGGGACAAGAAAAAAAATGGAATGAAAAAAATGGAAGCAAGGCTTTTGTAGATAAAAACAGGAGAGGTATTGAAAGAAGGAGAGGGAAATGGGAAAAAAGCAGCAAGATATATCATGTACAGGTATAAATTCCCTTTAATGAATGTTATATATATCAAAAATGTGCTATTAAAATCTTTTATTTTTTATTTTTGGAATCGAGGATCAAACTCAGGACCTTGCACTTGTGAGGCAGGCAGCAGCAGCACCACTAACCTAAATCCCCAGCCCAAAAATTACTAGTAATATTTTTTTAAAAAGGAAAAGAAATTCCAAGCTGGGTGTGGAGTGGCTTTCCTATAATCCCAGCTACTCAGGAAGCTAAGGCAGAGTTCAGGAGCTTGAGGATAGTGTGTGAGTGAGATTGAGTGATTGAGTGAGACCTTTTCTCAAAATGTAAAAATAAAGGCTGAGGATATAGTGTAATGGTTGAGTGCTTGTTTAACATGGGCAGCAAAAAAAACCAAAACTTGAATGTGGAAGAACTTGTCTTTGATTTGGTTTAAAATTCATTTAGAAGACAAAATAAGTTATTTGTGACGTTGTTAACCCCTTCATAGTATTTGATATCTGTCATCTGATCTAAATATTTCCTGGCTTGGTCCTTATGTAAATATCCTAGGACTTAACTACCAAGCAAGAGAAGAAAGCCCCTGAATGTAAAGTTCTAATTCAGAAATTTAAATTTGTTAAGTAGATATTATGCTTGACTTATTAATCTTTGAATATTTTTTATCTTTTAGATCCTGTTGTTCAAATTGCAATTGATAATTCTAGAAATATTTTATATACACGATCAGAGAAAGGAGTAATACAGGTAGGTATTCATATATATTCTCATTTAAGAATAGAGAAACAGGGCCAGGGATTTAGCTCAGTGGTTCCGCTGCCTGCCTTGAAAGTGCAAGGTCCCAAGTTCAATCTGTGATACCAAAAAAAAAAAAAAAAAAGAATAGAAAAACATCCATGTTTTAATAAGGAAGATTTACTTTTCCTCTATGAATTATGTGCTTTTTTTAACAGAATCATCCCCAAACACTTGTTAGGTCTCCTAAGATTTCAGATCACTAAACATTTCCATACCTGTTAAGTATAAAATTAAAAGATCCCTAAAAAAGAAAAGTTTGTTTAATAAAATGTGTACAGTATTAATTATGTTTAAGTGAGCAATTTTTTTATTTACAGGTTTATGATTTAGGCCATGATGGACAGAGAATGAGTAGAGTTGCTTCAGTTTCACAGAATGCTGTTGTCTCTGCTGCCGGAAACATTGCTAGGTAATATGCAATGTATTATCAGACACTTCATTTTAGGTGTAATTATATTATTTATGTATAGTATACTATGATTAAATTATATCCTCAGAACATCTCAAAAAAATAAGGAATGTTGAATATGTTGCTCTAGGTCATTGATGGCGAGCCTGAACTTTCAGTGATACAATTGACGTGCCATAGGTTCACCAGCACTGCTCTGTCATGTTGAAATAAGACTGCTTGAGACTATTCCTTTGTGATAATTTGAAATATAAAGTAGATTGTTTTTATTATGTAAAGTTCAGCTTGTCATGAACTTTTTTTCTTGGAACTTTTTGTTTTGTTTTGTTTTTGTGGTTTTGAGTGTGGAATTTAGGACCTTAAATATGCTAGGTAAATACTCTACCACAGAGCCACATCCCTAGCCCTTTTCCTTAGGACTTTATGTTAACCATACATGATCTATTACAAACATTATAAGTGTTACAGCTAGGTGCTATGAGTCTCATTCTCATAACTGTTCAACTTTTTAGCAGGCCTGAATGATGCAAGTTTATTTAGTTTGATTATTAGTACAAGTGCAGAATATAAAATTTCAGAGCTGTAGTATCCGTCTTTCTCCATGAGGAGATAGAAACTAAAGGACTCTTAAGATTTGCCTGAGATCAAGTGCTAGAACCCAACCTAGACACTAAGAAATTCTGTGCTACATTGTCTTTCACATATTTCCCAACTGCGTTGATCAGCTGCATACGTTCTTTTCACATACTAAAGGTATTAGCTTTTCTATTTTTCTTGTCCATATACTTGAGCAATTGCAATGATTAGTCATTATCATGAAAGATCAATTTTGTTTGTGTGTTACTGAAATCAAACCTAGAGACTTTCCACCACTGAACTGTACCTCAGTTCTTTTTTTCTTTTTCTTTTTAAGACTGGGTCTCACTCTTGCTATGCTCCCGTAGGCGTGTATCACCATGCTCAGCATCTTCCCTTCCTCTCTCCCTCCCTTCTTCCCTTCTTTCTCACTCATACACTCTCTCTTTCTCTTCAGTGACAAAAACAAAAGTCTCATGCTGGGCATAGTGGCTTATACCAATAATCCCAGCTACTCAGGAGGCTGAGGAGGCTTGCAAGTTTGAGGCCAACCTAGGCAATTTAGCAAGACTGTGCCTCAAAATTGAGAAAGAGCTGGGAATGTAGCCCTGCTTAGGTTCAATCTCCAGTACAAACCCTCCCCCCCAAACAAAAAAACCAGTAAGACTAGTAATTGAAAAGATGGTTTGCTATTCAATCCCTCCAGCTTTCTTTAGGAAAATTTTCTAAATCTATGGAAAAAGTAAAAACAATATGGCAAAGACTGATATAACCTCTATCTAGATTCACCACTTGTGAACATTTTGCCTCATTTCCTCACTGCCTTTCTTCTGGGCCATTTGCTAGTAAGTTGAAGACATCATTGCTTTCACCCTTAGATTCTTCAGCTTCTGTCTCCTCTGTAAGTCTCTTATATAATGACAGTACAATTATCACACCTAATAAAATTAACAGTAATTTTATCTATCTGCTATTATAGCTGTGTAATTATGTATTTTATATTAAAAGTTTCTAATAGTTCCAGATGCCTTCTGTAGCTATTTTTCTTTTCCAGTTCCACAATCAGAATTTATGAACTCCATTGATATTAAACTCTGTTTAATATAGAATGCACTCCCCTCCCCTCTTGTTTTTTTCATAAAGCTGACATTTGGGAGAGAGGAGCAGGATAATTATTTGTAGAATGTCCCAGTTTCTGAATTTGTCTTTTTTCCCTGTAATTAACCTCTCAATGATACTGTTTTTTACGCAGTATTATATAGGTGATGTGAACTTCTTCATTACTTCAGAAACATTTAATATCCGTTTTCTCACTCATAACTCTATTATAGATATTACATTACAAAGACCCATTTTGCCATTTTTGATTAGTAATAATCTTTACAATGATAATTTGATTCTCTGAGAACATATTTTTCTCCAATAACCGTTTACTTAGTAGTTTTAGTCTTTTTTATGATCTTTCTTCGAAAATAGGGCTAGTCTTAACTATATAATTTACATGGTACACATTCTAGAGGTTTTGCCAGTTCTCACTGCTATTGTATTACTGCTACTGTAGTATTTTCCTAAAAAGTTAACCTTAACATTTTAGCACATTTAGATATATAAATATACCAATGGAAAATGTGCCTTCTAAGTTAATAGACACATTTTACAAAGACTACACTAGTTTTTTATCTTTTTTTTAGGACCATTGATCGTTCTGTTTTTAAGCCAATTGTTCAGATAGCAGTGATTGAAAATTCTGAATCATTGGACTGTCAGTTATTGGCTGTCACACATGCAGGTATGTTTTTTAATTTATGTATCTGCTGTTGCTGTTACAACTTTTGATAATACATTTGGAAATTTGTAATTAGAAATGTTTTTCCTTCTATATGTTATCAAACCACATGAATACTTTATAAAATTAAGGATTTGAGAAATGTAAAATTCTTCTGATTCTGTACTCGTTTTATATGTGTAGAGCCAAGCTTGAAAGGCAAAGTGGCTCTTATTGGTGACAGAGCCTGAACTGCCATGCAGGCTCCCTTGGAGCAAGTTCTTCCTACTGAGATATATTTCACCTCTCAATTCCAAGTGACATTTTCTTAGAGATCTATTATATGTTTTATGGTTTTTTTTTTTGAAGCAAAGCATATATTGGTACATTTTATATACATATAGTGATAATATTCATAGGGAATTTGTACCTGTATGTGTTATGTCGTTTCTTTTTTTTCCACTCTTTTCCCCTCCTTATTTACAAAAGCTTTGTTTCCATTTTTTCCTTCTATTCTCTTTTTTTTCTTGTCCTTCCTCTATCCCTCCCTTTTCTCCCTTTTCATTTGAACATTTCCCATGTCTCAATATCTGTTATGCATTTTGGTCTTTATTTACACTTTCAGGTTCTCACACCAGAGAAACAATGTGCTATTTAAACATGTGTGTCCAATTTATCTCACTTAAGAATATGGTCTCAAGGTGCATCTATTTAGCTAGATATGTCTCAAGCTTATCCTTCTTCTTGGCAGAGTAGTTCTTCATAGTATAAAAAAAAAACATCTTCTTTACCCGTTCATCCGATTGATCGGCATTTGGGCTGTTTCCAAGATTTAGCTATTACAAACTGTGCTGCTATAAACACAGGTGTGCATATATCGCTGTGGTATGATGCTTTTAATTCTTTCAAGAATATACCAATAAGGGGAATAGCTCAGTCAAATGGAAGCTCTAGTTTTAGTTTTCTGAGAAATCTCCACACTGGATATCCTTGGTGGTTGTACCAGTCTACACTCCCACCGACAGTGGAGAAGGGTTCCTTTTTCCCCACATCCCTGCCAGGACTTGTTATTGTTGATTTCTTGATAATAGCCATTCTTTCTGAAGTGAGATGGAATCTCAGCATTGTTTTAATTCACATCTTTTGAATGAACAGTAATCTGAGAAGTCTCTGTTCATTTCACATGGTCACATTTGGACTGTGCCTTTAAATTCAGGGGTCTGATTTATTTGAATTCTTTATATATTCTAGATATTAATCCTTTGAGGAACAGCTGGCAAAAATTTTTTCCCACACTGTGAGCTGTCTCTTCACTCTGTTGGTGGTTTCTTTTGCTGTGCAAAAACTTTTTAATAAGTTGAGATGCCAATTGTTGATTCTTTGTGATATATCCTGTGTGATTGGGTTTTGTTCATAATGTCTTCAAGAGTTCTACCTATTCTATCTTCCACAAGATTTAGTGATTCTGCTTTAATATTTAGATCTCGGATTTGATTTGAGTTTAGTGCATGGTGAAAAATATGGGTCCACTTTTAATCTTTGGTATGTGAAAAGCCAGTTTCCCCAGCACCATTTATTAAAGACATTATCCTTCTTCCAGTGAAGGTGTTTGACTCCTTTATCAAAGATAAGGTGGCTGAGTATGTTTGGAGTTATTTCTGCATCTTCCAATCTGTTCCACTGATCCTCCGGTCTGGTTTTTTGCCAGTACAATGATATTTTTATCGCAGTAATTTTGTAGTATAATTTCAAATTGGGGATTGTGATGATCCCTGCCTTACCATTATTGCCCAGAACTGCTTTTTCTATTCTAGATCTCTTGAATTCCAAATAAGTTTTAGGAATGTTTTCTCTAATTCTGTGGATATGCTATTGGTATTTTGATCAGGATTGCATTAGATCTATATAATAATTTTGGAGGTATGGCCATTTTGACTATATTTGTTATTTCTATTCAAGAACAAGAGATATCTTTCCATTTTGTGATATCCCCTTTGATCTACTTATTCAGGGTACTGTAGTTTTCATTTTAAAGGTCTTTTACTTCCTTTGTCAGATTGATTCCTAGGTATTTCATTTTTTTTGGATGCTATTGTGAAAGGTATTGATTCCCTAATTTCTCTCTCAGTCTATTTGTGTATAGGAATTATATTGATTTTTTAATGTTAACTTTGTATCCAGCTATGCTACTGAATTTGGTTATTAAATCTAAGAGTCTTTTGGTGGAGTTTTTGGGGTCTTCTATGCAGAGTATCATGTCATCCACAAAAATCATAATTTAACTTTTTCCTTTCCTATCCTTATTCTTTTTGTTTCTTTCGTCTAATTGCTTTAGCTAACATTTCCAGAAGTATATTGAATAAGAGTGGTGAGAGTGGATATCTTTGTCTTTTTCCTGGTTTTAGAGGGAAAGCTCTCAGTTTTTGTCCATTTAGTATGATGTTGGCTGTTGGTCTGTCATATATGGCTTTTATCAGATTGAGATAAAGACCATCTATTCCAGTTTTCTGTAGGATTTTTATCATGAATGGGTGTTGGACTTTGTCAGACACTTTTTCTGCATCTATTGAGATGATCGTATGGTTTTTGTCCTTGGCTTATTGTGTTGCATATGTTGAATCATCCCCTCCATCCCTAGGATGAATACTACTTGGTCATGGTGTATAACCTTCATGATGATTTGTTGTGTTCTTTTTGTCAGTATCTTATTGAGGATTTTTGCATCTCTATTTATTAGGGAGGTTGACCTGTGGTTCTCTTTTTTGGTTGAATCCTTCTCTGCTTTTGGTGGCAGGGTAATGCTTACTTCCAGGAATGAATTTGAGAGCATTGCTTCCTTTCCAATTTCATTAAAAAGTTTGAGAAGTAGCATCATTAGGTGTTTTCTAAATTTCTTGTAGAATTCATCATTGAATCCATCAGGGCTTGGGCCTTTCTTTGTTGGTAGCTTTTTAATTACATCTTCAATTTCACTGACTGATACTGGTTTATTTAGAATTTTTATATCTTCTTTTTTTTTTTTTGGTACCAGGGATTGAACTCGGGTCCTTGCGCTTGTGAGGCAGGCGCCGGAACCACTGAGCTAAATCCCTGGCCCCTATATCTTCTTGGTATAGCTTTGGTGGTTCATATCTGGGAATCTGTCCATTATTTCTGTGTTTTCCATCTTGTTAGAATACAGATTCTGAAGTAGGTTTTGATGATCTTTTAGATTTATGCAGTATCTGTTATGATTTCACCCTTTTCATTCCTAACTACATGGATTTGAGTCTTTTCTTTCACCGTTTTGATAAGGTTGGCTAAGGGCTTCTCAATTTTATTTAATCTTTCAAAGGATGAACTCTGATTCACTGATTCTTTGTATTGTTTTCTTAGTCTCCATTGCATTAATTTTTGCCTTACTCCTTGTAATTTCCTCCCTCATACGCACTTTGGGCTTGACATGCTCTTCTTTTTCTAGAAGCTTGAGGTTCAACATTAGGTTATTTATTTGAACTTGGTCTGTTTTTATGATATGGGAATTCATCACTATAGATTTCCCTTGTAGGACTGCTTTCATTGTGTCCCATAAGATTCAGTATGTTGTATTGGCATTATTTTTTAAAGAAAGAAACTAGTTTCTTCTTTAATTTCATCTGTAACCCATTGCTTATTCGGGAGGGTGTTAATTTCTATGTTTTTACGTAGTTCTTGTGGTTTCTGTTTGCATTGGTTTCCAATTTCATTGCACTATGATCTGATAATATGCATGGGATAATTTAAATTCCTTTGCATTTACTTAAGCATGTTCTATGAGCTATTATGGGGCCTGTTTTGGAGACTGTCCCATGTGCAGCTGAGAAGAATGTGTATTCTGATGTTGTGGGGTGGAACATTCTGTAGACATCTACTAAGTCTATTTGTTCAAAAGTTTGGTTCAGTTCTGATATTTTGTTGATTTTTTGTCTATTTTATCTATTTTTGTTGTTGTTGTTGTTGTTGTTTTGCAGTACCAGGGATCAAACTCAGGACCTTGCACTTGCAAGGCAGGTATGGTGCCATTGAGCTAAATCCCTGGCCTTGATCTATTTGTGACAGTGAGGTATTGAGGTCCCCCCATTACAATTGTATTACTTTTTATTTGATTTTTTATGTCCATTAATATTTGTTTTATATAGTTTGGTGCGCTGATATTTGGTGCATATATATTTAAGATTCTCTCTTTCCCTTGGATTGTTCCTTTCACAAAGATATAGTGACCTTCTTTGTCTTTCTTAATCAGTCTTGGCTTGAAATCCACTAAGTGTGCAAATACAGTAGCCTCCCCGGGTTTTCTGGGTTCCTGTCACATGGAGTGTTGTTTCCCATCGTTTGACTTTCAGTCTGTGAAATTTTTTTTGAATTAAATGTGCTTCTTAGCTGGGCATGGTGGCACATGCCTGTAATCCCAGCACTCAGGAGGCAGAGGCAGGAGGACTGCCACAAATTCACAGCCAGCCTGGGCTACCTAGTAGCTAGCCTGAACTGTATAGTGAGACTGTCTCAAAAAAAAAAAGAACGTGTTTCTTGTATGCAGAATATTGTTGGATCTTGCTTCTTGGTCCATTCTGCCAGTCTGTTTTGATTGGCGAATTGATATCATTTACATTGATGGTTATAACTGATATGTATTGACTTACACTTGTCATGTTTTTTTCCTGTTGTTGGTTCCCTTTTTCCCCTCTGTTTAATTGTTTTCCTTGCCTAATGGATTCATTCTGTTGGGGTTCATGGAGTTGTAGTCCTTATTATCTCTTTCTACAATGCCTTTCAGAGCATTTTGAAGTACTGATTTTTGGTGATCATGAATTTCTTCTGATGTACTTTGTCATGGAAGTATCTCATTTCTCCATCAATTTTCACAGATATTTTGGGGAGTACATCAGTCTGGATTGGAGGGTGTTTTAGGGCTTGAAATGCTTCACTCCAAGCTTTCCTTGACTTGATTTGTGTTGAGGACTGTGCTGTGATTCTGATGGGCTCCTTTATAGGTGATTTGTTTCTTTTCTCTAATGTATTTTTATATTTTTTATTAGTATATGTTTGCAATACGTAATGATTGCATTCATTGTGGATAATTCATACATATATATAACATATCTGTTCGTCCCTTCCTATTTGCAAAAGATCTATCTCCTTATTTCCTCTTGTCTCTTTTATGTTGCTCTTGAATTTATTTATACTTTACAGTTCTCATAGGAGAAAACTATGCAACAGTTAAGCATATGTGTCTTATTTCACTTAATATTATGGTTTCATTGTGCATCGACTTAGAAATCTATTTTAGCTGGTAGTAATCATTGATCAGTGAGAAAAATGGTACATGGCTTTAACAGTTCGGTGCTTTTATATGAAATTGTTTCAGTACACATGTACCTCAGGTCCTTGATTTTGTTACTAATGCATAATTTTACTTCATTATCAGGTGTTAGGTTATATTTCAGCACTTGTCCATTTAGACAGCCATTAGCACGGCCTAATTCACTGACACTGGTTCATGTCCGCTTACCTCCGGGATTCTCAGCATCTTCAACAGTGGAAAAGCCTTTAAAAGTACATAAAGCTCTTTATAGTAGAGGTAAGTTCTGAAATACTATCAGATTTAAGATTGGATTATTAAAATTATAAGTCCTTTGAAAATAGCACAAATTTTCCAATGGAGTTTAGAATTTTTTGGAATTTTTCCAAATATTTTATTTTGTTTTAAGCATTTCAATTTATGTGTTTAAAACTGTAGTGTTTTAATTTTAGTTTTAAGTTTAGTCTGTTAGTAGGTTTTTGTATGAACTGACTTGTCAAAATTGGTTTTATATTGAGTCTTACAGTCTTTCTGAGCTTTTTTCCTTTAGAATAGTCAGAAAAACTAAAATGACTTTTCTGATACAGTGGACCCTTCACTTATGAACTCAATTCGTTCCCAAGGGCTGGTTGTAACTCAAGTTGGTCAGTTGCCTTCAGAGTCTCCTGTATAATTTTAGGCACACTTTCTTCCAGGAAGATCTCAGTGTCCTTAGATATTGCCCCAGGATTTCTCAGTTAACTTCACACAGGAAAGGATGTTGTAATGTTCCTTCCAAAACTCTTTAAGGGTTAAATCTGTGTCTGAGACCATCTGGAAGCACAAGCTGCCAGCATTTGGGATGTAACTCAGAACTTTGTAAGTTAAAACTAAAATTCCAGTTGTAACCCAAGTTGTTCGTATATCAGCCCTGTCATAACTCGAGGGTCCACTGTACTATATGGTTGCTGTTCCAGTGTCTTTAGGATGTGGAGAGTTTTAGATGCCACAGTATGAAATCTTGATCATAAATTCTTTATGATTCATTATTAAGTTTAATAATTATAGATAAATATCAAAACTTGAAAAATAGGGGGCCAGGGATTTTTAGCTCAGTGGCACCGCACCTGCCTCGCAAGCACAAGGTCCTGAGTTCAATCCCTGATTCTGAGAAAAGAAAAAAAAAACTTGAAAAATTGGTATGTGCTTTTTCTCATTTTGGGGAAAATATTACCAATCGTTCTCTTTTTTTTCTGGTACTGGGGATTGAACTCAGGACCTTGTGCTTGCAAGGCAGGTGCACTGCCACTGAGCTATATCCCCAGCTGTTTCCAATCATTCTAAAGCCTTGTTTTTGCTTATTCTGTCTTCCAACATTTTATTGTTCAACACCCAAATGAAACTACTTTCCAAACAGAATTTTTTTCAAGTGTATCCTGCTTGCTGTGTACCTTTACTACATTTTTACTAAGAGCTTTATTGAGATATAATTCACATAATGTTAAATTTAACCTTTTAAAATGTAAAATTCAGTGGTTTTTAAAAGTTTTTCAGTGCTGTGCAGCAATTACTTCGTTCAAGAGTATTTTTGTTATCCTAGAGAAAAACCCCTATATTCATTAGTAGTGATTTTTGATTCCATTCCCCCTTTCTCCCAGCCTCAGGAAATCAAAAGGCAGGTGGGTGGGATTTTAATAGTGTGGTCTGTAAATCAAATTAGAGAATGTTACATCTTAATTATATTGTCTTCAAATCATTGAGTACCTACTAACTTTTTATTTAGACGGCCTTTAATTTCTTTCAATGATGTGTTTACAGTGTATAAGTTTTGCGTTTCTCTCGTTAAATTTATTCTGAAATATTTTATTATTTTTAATGTGATTGCAAACAAATTAAGTTTTAAAGCTAGAAATATATTTAAGAGGGCCAGGGATTTAGCTCAGTGGTTCTGCCACTTGCCTCGCAGGTGCAAGGTCCCAAGTTTGATCCCCCGTACCAAAAAAAAAGAAATATATTTAAGAACAAAATCCCATAATTTTAGTTATGTGAATAATAGAATAAAAAAATTGCAGTTTTTCAGCCCTGCATCATGGTATGCACCTTATGCCAGCAGTCTTAGAGGACTACAAGTTTGATCCCAGCCTGGGCAGCTTTAGTTCTTTAGCAAGATTTACAAAAGAGGTTGGAGATGTAGTGCAGTAGAAAGGCCCTGGGTTCAATCCCTACTACTGAAAGAAAATAAAATTACAGTTCTGTAAAGTGTTGCAAACTAATATTTAAGAGACAATTTCTGCCACTCTGATACAAACAACTAATTTTTTATAACCAAGTTATAGATTATGGAATTGTACATAAGAGAATATGTCTCAAAATCTCCAGTAATATCTGCTAGCTTTGCTGAGACATTGCTTTTATGGTATATTTATCTCTGTTATTTCACTAAAACCATCACTTTTACTCATAGTGTGTATTGGAATTCACCAGTACATAAACTAGTTCATTGACTGATACAAGATTGATTGAAAGTCACAACACTTTATGTGCTAAATAAATTTTCATAAAGTTAATTGATGAACCCATCAATTGTGAAGTATAGTCTCATATATGAATAGTGTAGTCTGAAAATGTAATAAACAGTTTTCCTGAAAGAAATGAAATATAAGATTGAGAACACTTGAAAACTGTACCCTACTAATAATTACATGTTCTTTCAAGGAATTTGTTTTTATTTTGTAACTTGTTTGTTTATAAAGATTTTTATATATTAATGTGAATTATTATTATTTTAAAGGCTTTAGAGGATGCATTTTGTTTGACATCATGTAATAAGATTTTATGTATTAAACTTTTAGGTATTCTGTTGATGGCAGCTTCAGAAAATGAGGATCATGACATTTTGTGGTGTGTCAACCATGACACATTTCCTTTCCAAAAGCCAATGATGGAAACTCAGGTAAATTATCTTGAGAATTCTAAAGTAACTTTTACATAATAGTTTTTTGGTGGTGGTTGTGATGCTGAGGATTAAACCCAGGGCACTGTGCTTGCTAAGCAGGTATTCTATCACTGAGCCACACCGCCAGCCCTTCCATACTATTTAAGTTCAGAATAATATGGAAGGAAACTTAACTTTCTGATTTACTATTTGCTTCTAATAATATTTTATGTTTAGAAGTCATATTGAAGCTAAGCATGGTGGCGCTCACCTATAATCCCAGCACTTGAGAAGCTAAGGCCACCTTGGGCTTACTTCGAGGCCACCTTCGGCTACATAGTGAGTTCAACTACATAGCAAGACCCTGTCTTCACCTCCCCCTCCCCAAGAAAAGAGAAATGATATTGAAAAGAAATTTGTCCTGTTAATGTTTTGTTTTTCCTGTCAGGAAATTTTTGAATACCTTTAAAGAAAACATTGGAACCCTTTTGGAATGTTTTCCTAAGTGTATCTTTTCTGAAATGATCTTCATCTTATTTAAATATAATATATTTTCATTTCTTTAATTTTGAAGAAATGCATTATAGTTATACCCTAGAGATTTGTGTGTTTGTTTGTTTTTTGGTTTTTGGTTTTTTTTGGTACCTGGGATTGAACTTGGGACCTTGCGCTTGCCTAAATCCCCAGCCCTACCCTAGAGTTTTATTCTAACAGTCTCTGTAGTTTTGCCTACATTTTAAGAACTTTTTCAAATTATAGAAACTTTGTCAAACAGTTTCAATACTAAATCGAATCCCACATGAGAGAATTACTAATATTTTAATCATTTTTTTTAATCTTTTCTACATATTCAGATGTACACACACTACCATACAGTTGTGTTTCAAATGCATAGTCATGAGTGAGGAGCAAGGCTGTCATGAACCCACTCACTGCTTTCTCCTGGGCCATCTGTTCTAGTCCCTGCTGTTCAATAAGCTGAGGAGACAGCATCTATCCCCCTCTCCTCAGTGTCCTTCTATTTCACCTGTCCTCATTCATTTCATCTGTCATCGTTACCCCTGCAAGGTCCTTAGAGTCTGCTGATTCAGCTAGATAAATCAGTCCCACTGAGGTATGTGTAACAGTCTCTCTTTGGAGCCATCTCTTCGTAGGTACTTTTGTTCTAGCTGTCACTGGCTGTTTCCTGGTGATTCTCAAATTTGAGCCTTTTCATTTAGGGAACAGAGTGTAAGTGGGAGGAGGAAAACCCAAATCCCAGGGATGAAAGCATGATTTGAAGGAGCGCTACCAACTTTCTGACATAAGTTTAAGGAGTTAGGGTAGGAACAGGAAGTAGATACTGAAGTGAGAAGTGCCTGATTTATTTTACTTTTTTGAACTTTTCTCACCACTTACTGTGATCCTTACGCTGTGACAAATTGTAAAAGTTAAGAACTCAATAAGACACAAACCCCATCCTAATGGGGATGCTTTTATTGGTATGGGAGTAAAAGTTTGAACTCTGCTTCTACCTCTTCCAAACTGTGGCAAAAGATTTCATAGTTTTTAGCACTCTATTTCATCTAAAAAAGTTTTAGTGGTACTTACCAGTATGAAGTTGTCATGGCAGTATGTATGTAAACACTCAGAAAACTGCCTGGTACATAAGCAGTTAATAATGTTAATGTACTTTTTTTTTTTAATGCAGATGTAATTTCATTTGTGTAACATTTGAGCTGTGGACTTTCATTTAAAAACAAAAAACAACCACCAAATATAGTATGTAAACTTTGATCAAATTGTGGTTTTCTAAGAACAGCTGATGGGCCGGGGATTTAGCTCAGTGATACCGCCACCTGACTCACAAGTGCAAGGTCCTGAGTTCTATCCCTGGTACCCCCCCCAACCAAAGAAACAAAAAACAAAACAAAACAAACAAACAAAATATATATAGAGAGAGAGAGTGTTAAAAAAATAAAAACAGCTGTAAAAGACATTGGGAATAACTGGAAATGTTGTATTAGGGAATTGTTAGCATTCTTAAATTTTGTAATAAGAGTATGTAAGAGCATTTTTATTTTTTGGAGATGCATGCAAATGTATTTAGGGGTTACACGACAACTGTAACTTTCAAGTTCAATAAAAGAAAAATATATAGAAAGAAAGCAAATATGGCAGAATGGTAGTAATTATTGGGCATAGGGACATTTACTCTATTTTCAACATTTTTGTTTGGTACGGGGATCGAACTTGGGTCCTTGTGCTCTCGAGACAGGTGGCATAACTACTGAGCTAAATCCCCATATTTTCAACATTTTTATATGCTGGAAATATTCTAAAATATTTCAGAAGATTACAACATTTAAAAATCTTAGAAAGCAGGTAGGACTTCAGAAGAGAACAGAATTCGTGTCAGCAAAACAATAAGTGCCGAATTTACCAATATAGGTTGGTCTATCCTGTAAATTTGATAAAACATAATCATTCTGATTGTTGAGAAAAATTTAATTCTAATTACAGTTTATTGTAAGAAAACTGTCTTTGTTCTCTAGTATGAAAAGAATTTTCATATATAAAATGCCTGCTTAAAAAAGAGTACGATAGTAGAAAATTAAATGCATACTTTTGAGGATATTCATGTGACCAGTGGTTTACTAAGGTATTATATCTATCTTTCCAGAGGCTTTTGCTTTATGTAGCTTCAACAGGATGTGTAAAAATTATATTTCTTTTATATAGATGACAGCCCGTGTGGATGGCCATGCCTGGGCTCTTTCTCCAATAGATGAATTCAAAGTGGATAAAATAATTACACCATTAAATAAGGACCATATTCCAATAACTGAATCACCAGTTGTCGTGCAGCAACACATGTTACCTCCAAAGAAATTTGTTCTCCTCTCAGCACAGGTAGGTGCATATTAAGGGAGAGACAGAAGAACAGATGAGATACTTAATGTTTTTGTCAAATACTATGAAGTAGTCATTTAACACAGTCATTTTCTTTAGTACTTCTCAATGTTTAGTCTTAAAATATTTTGAAAAATGTTTGTCGATACCCAAAATGCTACAAAAACAACTAGCCCTTTACCAGAGGATTCTACTTTATCTAAAAGAACATTTCTGTCATTGGTATTCAGCAACAAAATATACTATAAGCCGTCTTTTTTCTAAGGACAACCAAACAAAATATTTTTTATATTTTTTTTCATTTTCTTAATAATTTTTTTTTTTTTTGAGACACCATCTCGCTCTGTAGGTCAGGTTGGACTTAAATTTACCATGGAACACAGGCTGGCCCCAAGCTCACAGTGATCCTCCTCCCTCTGTCTCCTTAGTGCTGGAGTTACAGGCATGTGCCACCACGCCTGGCCCTAATATTTTAATTTTTGAATAGAGATGTATTAACAGAATTCAAGTGGAAAGATACAGTAAAATCTCCCTTCTAATCTAGGTCTCTTCCTTCTAGATATGCATACTACTATCTGTATCCTTCCATAGATATGGTACAAATATACAAACAATGCAAATACATTTCTAAACACATGGTAGCACATTATATACACTGTTCTGTATCTTGCTTTTTATAATTCAAAAATATGTTTTGAAGACCTTTCATTTTTGACATGGCTTTCTCATTTTGCTTTACATGTAAAAAGTACAGTGGACCCTTGATTTATGAACTCAGTTTGTTCAGAAGGGCTGGTTGTAACTGAAGTTGGTCAGCTAAAAGCTCAGACTCCTCTCCACAGCCTTCAGAGTCTCTCTCCTGTATAATTTTAGGCCACATTTTCTTTCAGGCAGATCTCAGAGTCCTTAGAGAGACATTGACCCAGGATTTCTCAATTAATTTCTCAATTAATGGCACAGGAAAGGATGTGACAGTGTTCCTTCCAGAATTCTTTAAGGGTTAAATCTGTATCTGAGATCATCTAGAAGCATAAGCTGCCAGCATTTGGGTCATAACTCAAGACTTTGTAAGTTAAAACTAAAATTCTGGTCATAACCCAAGTTATTTATGTCAGGCCAGTCGTAACTCTAGGGTCCACTGTATTCCTTTGTATTAATATACGATGTTTTAACCAACTTCCTTTTAATAGATCAACTTCTGCTCTTAATAATCCCACAGTTTTGTGCATATGTCATTTTGCATGTGTGTGAATAAAGCTGTTATATCTACTTGGTCAAAGAGTGTGTGCATTTGTAAATAATGTATTGCCACATTTCCCTGTATACATTCACTAATATTTGTGAATGCCTGCTTCCTCGCAACCTCTCCCAGGACATCATACTATCTTATTGAGAATGAGATTGACCCTCTTTTCAAGTATTTATATTTCTATGATCTGTTCTTACTCTATATATTAGTGTTCCCTTATCTGCAGTTCTAAATTACAAGGTTTGTTACCTCATTCAAGTGTAGTCTGAAAATTAAAAGTTCCAACAGTAAGCAATTCATAGGTTTTAACTTGCATACTATTCTGAATAGTGTGATAAAATCTTGTACTCTCCTGATTCCAGCCCATACAGGACATGAATCACCCCTTTCTTCAGTGTATCCATATTGCATTTATTGTTTTCCCCTTAGTCACTTAGTAGCTGTGTTGGATGTCGGATCGACTATTATAGTGTTGCAGTGCTTGTTCATAGGGTTTGGAATTGTTCATGGTTTTAGGCATCCACTGGTGATTTGTAATGTATCCACTGAGGATGGGGAGAGACTATACAGGGTTTTTTTTGTCTTTTTTTTTTTTTTTTAAATCCCCAGTACCGGGGATTGAACTCAGGACCTTACCACTGAGCTAAATCCCCGGCCCTACAGGAATAAATAGTTGAAATTGTCAGGTATCTTTTGGAACTTATGTCATATCAAAGTGCTTCCTCACTCTGGAGTTCATGAAAGAATTCATTAAAGATTCTTTCAAATTTTTTTCTAATACCATTATAGTTTTGTTTTGTCCTTGAAACCTTTGATCTGTTTGGAATTTGTCCTGATATAAGTAAGGTATGAGTATGGATCCAGCTTCATTTTTGTCTAAACAGGTATACATAGTGCCAACATTACTAATGAATAATTAACTTTAATGCTTCAATCTGAGGGGGCAGCAAAAGAGAGTCAGTATTTTATTACATTTTTCTCTGTGGATATATGGAGCTAGTGTAGGTTGGAGCTGAAAAGTAAATGAACTTACTTTGTATTTTTGATGTCACGTTTTATTTCATTTATTTGATTAAATAAGGTAGTAGTTTCAGTTGCTATTTAACAGTAAATCTGTTTTTCATATTGTTTAATCTTTTAAAATTTCTTAGGGGAGTCTTATGTTTCATAAACTCAGACCTGTAGACCAACTGAGGTATCTACTTGTGAGTAATGTGGGGGGAGATGGAGAAGAGATTGAAAGATTCTTCAAATTACATCAGGTAATTTTTTAAAATTATGATATTTTAAAACTTTGAAACACTGAGTTAAAATTTTACCTAAATTGGCAGTAAAATATTGTAATAAACAGATAATCTCACTAGTCTGCCCTTCTTTACAAGAGTCTTTATGTACACTGACATTTGAAAGCAGAATTAATAATGAGACTTCTTTTAGAATTTTATTATAATATTGGTAAGTTCTTATTAAAGTGTATGAGTAAGAGTCTGGTGTTATGTAATATATGCAGTTTTTATTAAAAACAGAAGACGTAACTTTTATGAACATGTCTACACTTATACATATGTCTACACTTAATGACCTGACAAAGTTGAGGGCGAGGATGTGGGGGCATTAGTATTGCAAAGCCATAACTGGAACTGTGAGATTAACACTGTGTATGTGTTGTTGAAATGAATATCAGATCAAAGTATACAGACCCATTGAGCATGTTAGCACTTGCCTGTAACCGCAGCACTTCAAAGGCTGAGGCAGGAGGATCACTGTGAGTTCAAGGCAGCATTGGCTACATAGTTCAAGGCCAACCTAGACTATATAGCAAGACTGTCTCAATGAAACAAACCAAAAATCAGTCAATCAATCAATAAATTATACAGACCCTGAATTCAAGCCACCTGTTAAAAATCTCAGCCCCACCACTATGATGAGTTAACTTGAATTCTCTGGGGTTCAGTTTTCTTTTTAATGTAAAATATTCATTACATTCTAATAGTATGTCATATAAGGATAAATACATGCCAAATTGTTAAAATAGTGCCTGGCACATAATAAGTACCAATAAATGTTACCCTTTATTGATATTTTCCATAAGGTAAAAAGTCCATGAGGCAGAAAAAATGGAGGAGTAAACCAAAAACTAAATTATAATCTTAATAAAAAGAGAAATGATCTTTAATACTAGTGCTTGTGTTAAACTTTAAAACTGGTAGTCTTCATTTTTCAATAACAGCTGATTTCATTTAGACAATTATTCCTTGAGGGATTATACAAGTTTACAAATAGTTGAAATGTGTGCTAATCACACATTTGAACACTGGATATATTAGTAAAACAAAACTGTTAAGATATTTATGTTTAATTTGTTTAAGATGTTTATATTTGATTTGGAGGAAACTTTCATTTTTGGGGGTTGGGTACTGGGGATTGAACTCAGGACCTTGCACTTTCGAGGCAGGTGCTGGAAGCACTGAGCTAAATCCCTGGCCCTAACTTTCATTTTTTTTAACAGGAAGACCAGGCCTGTGCAACTTGCCTTATCCTTGCTTGCTCTGCTGCTGCCTGTGATAGAGAAGTATCTGCTTGGGCTACTCGGGCTTTCTTCAGGTAAATTTCAGGTCTTTTTGTACTGGCCACCTTTATAAATGATTGCTTTGCCAGTGTGATACTTTAAGGTCATGCCAAACAATTCATTCTCTACATAGGCAAATTATTAAACTTCATTTGCAAAAGTGTAAAATTGGAAAGATTGTAATAATGATTGAACACCTAGATTGGCATAATTTATGTGTTATTGTTTTTCTACTACCTCAAATACTACCAGTTCTGCTGTATGTGTATCATACAGGGATTCTGAATCGCATTAAGGAAACTTTTTGTCAGAGACTTTTTAAATTATTATTATTTTTTTATTTTCATTTTTATTCTCTATGGTCTTGGGGATCAAATCCAGGGCTTCATGCATGCCAGGCAAGTGCTTTACCACTGAGCTATATCCCTATTTCTGAAAGACAAACTTTTTTTTTTTTTAATATTTAAATATATGGATGTGGTGGTGCATGCTAATCTAATCCCAGAACTTTGTGTGGTTGCAGCAGAAGGATCACAAGTTTGAGCCTACCCTGTGCAATTTAGGGACTTAGTGAGATGCTGTCTCAAAAGTGGGGAGGGGGACTTTGGGATGTAACATGATGGTAATGCCCTGGGTTCAATCCCCAGTACCACCAAAACAAAAAACACACATACAGTAGGTGAGTGAGTAATAAAATTTGATTTTGTTAAAAACTTTTTAATGTGTGATCTGACTATAGTCTGATATGAAAAGTACAGTGCTGTTTTCTCCCTAAGTAAATTCTGTGCATTGCATATCTTTTTCAGAAGTTAGCAGAACGCTTTGTAAGTCCTCCTGCAGTGTCAAGTCAGCATTTTCTGAATAAGTATGGTATATCCCAGTTATGTATTTCAATGTCAGCACCATATGTTAAAATCTAAAATCTAAAACATTTATTTGGAAGCTCAGCATGCTTAGGAACAATTCTAGCTTTTAAAATAAATTTTACAGAGCTGGGGATTTTAGCTCAGTGGTTCCGCCGCCTGCCTTGCAAGTGCAAGGTCCCAAGTTTGATCTCCGGTACCAAAAATAAATAAAATAAAATAAATTTTACTGAACTCAGCTTCTGTTTTCATACAAATAGGTATGGTGGTGAAGCACAGATGAGATTTCCAGCTACTCTTCCCACTCCAAGTAATGTTGGTCCCATCTTGGGGTCTCCTGTTTGTCCTAGTGAGTATGAAACATTGAAATGAAACTTTATAATAGTTTGAATTTTAGCAATTTTATGATATTTCAGTCAAAGCTTTTATTTTTTTTTTGGTACCGGGGATCGAACTTGGGTCCTTGCACTTGCACAGCAGGCAATGAAACCATTGAGCTAAATCCCCAGCCCAATCAAAGCTTTTTATTATGTTTTATAACTGCTGTATTGTGATAAATATAGTTTGTGATTCTTAAAAGTGCTTTTAGATTAATATTAAATCTTTAATGTTTTGGTTTTGTTTTTTTGGTACTGGGGATTGAACTCGGGACCTTGCACTTGTGAGGCAGGCAGTGGAACCACTGAGCTAAATCCCTAGCCCTATTAAATCTTTAATGTATAATAGGTAATAAAATAGATGTAACTAATAGTATTAACAGGATTCATTTTGTATTTGTTAAAAGGGAAAGAAATGCACGATTCAATAATAATCCCAATGTCAGTGTTTTCCAGTGTGGTGATTGTTAGAAAGTTACTGGAAAAAGAGATGAGTCCCTAATTCTTGAATGTATCATGGATAGTTCCACTCCTTATTTGTGTTTACAAACATTCTGTGCCTAATTTTGATCAGATTCAAAAGATGGGGTGGTTATTTTATAAATTTTATGTTCTTCTTTTATTAGGTTCTCCTGTTCCTAGTGGTAGTCCCTATCCGAATCCATCCTTTTTGGGAACACCATCCCAAGGTACTCCTTTTCTTTGTTTTGGATTGCTACTACTATTCTTTTTGAGGAACAATGTTACAAATTATTATCTTTAGGTTTACTGTGAAAAAAGATGAACCTAGCCTATTACCTTGGAGAAAAACGTCATTTAATAGAAGTGATATCCAAGCAGTTATTGGCATTTGGCCATGAATGCCTTCATTTATTTAAGTGCTCCTCTAACAGTATACCTAGGGATATCAGCATTTAGCTGGGCCCTGAAAATTTTTTTTTTTTTTGGTACTGGGGATCGAACTCGGGACCTTGCGTTTGCGAAGCAGTTGGTAGAACCACTGAGTTAAATTCCTGGCCCTGAAATTATTTTTTCACTCATAGCATTAGGAGCATTGATTGCAAAGGATTTTTATTGTTTTGTTTTATTTTTTTCCTCTTCATTTTGCATTACCAATACTTGAAAATCTACCTGGAAGAACCCATCAAGTCTAATCCTTTCTTTTTATTAAGCAAAGCTAAATGACATATCTATTCTGTTATTTTTGCTAATATTCCTACCCTGGTGTCCGGTTGCAACAAACTTGGGTTATTGAGAATTCTGAATTTTTAGAGTAATATCTTTAAGAGGTTTGTCATGTGTGTTTAAGGTATCCAGCCTCCTGCCATGTCAACTCCAATGTATGCTGTGGGAAACCCAGCAACTCAGGCTACAAGTATGAGTGGTATGACTGGACCAGAGATTGTGTACTCTGGAAAGCACAATGGTATTTGTATTTACTTTTCTCGAATCATGGGGTAAGTACGTTGTGGTAATTGCTCACTTTTTGCTATTTGGAGTAGTGAAATATTTCTAACAATAAATTTTGGACATCATTTATTTCCATTAAATTTTACTGCTACTTTTAGCTCTTTTTTCCTTTGATATGATTTTGTCATTTAGCCTTTGTATTATCTGTGTATTTTCATTGCTGTGTTTTATTCCTGTGTATGTGTGTAGCATCAGAATATATCTTTTAATAGCCTGCTAATAATGCAGCATTACGAATTAACATAGCATTACAAACCATGCCAAAACTCAGTGACATGTGTCTAGATATCCAATGAGAAGTTCTTGTCTTATTCATTTCACCCATGCCTATGCAGTCAATTGTGAGGTTAGAGAGAGCTCTGTGTATCTTTGGTCAATTCTTGGATGTTTAGGAGCATGCTTGTCTGCTGGTCTAGAATGGCCTCAGATGAGACAGCTGTGCTGTTGTCCACATAGTTTCATCTTCTGCCATGCCAGCTAATGATTATTCACTTTCTGGTGGCAAGGTTCTTTGAGAAGGTTTCAAAACCTCTTGATGCCTAGACTCAGAACTGGCCTCCCATTTACTTTTCCACTTCATTTGCTTGGTGATAGGGAAATCTCAAGGCCCACTTAGATTAAGAAGGTGGGAAATAGACTTTCCCTGTTTATAAGAAAGTTATCAAAGTCATACTGTAAAGGGAATAGGTATAGGGAATGATAAAATTGCAGTGGTTTTGCAATCTCTCTCCCATCTAATTAGCTACCATGCCTAGTGTACATTTTTCCTAAATTTGACATGTATGCTTTCATTGATATCATTTCCTTTAAAATGTATAGACTGAGTATAGAACTCCTTTCTAAATATATGATTTTCTTTATTAAAAGCTCTCTATTTTATAATCATTATCCAGAGACTTGATTTTTCTTCAACAGTATTTCATTGTCTGAAATTACTTACGGTATATTTGGTTTGAAAATTTTCCTGTTTCCCACTTTTCTAGGTAATTTAATACATGTTTAATGAAACCATTGCTATGTTTTGTTAGCCATTGCTAACAAAGCTATTACATTCCTACAGAAAGGAATTTAGTGTATATTGTAATTGTCTTTTATCATTTATAGCACAATCATTAAAATATTTTTTGTTTCAGAAACATTTGGGATGCTAGCTTAGTTGTGGAGAAAGTGTTCAAGAGTGGCAATAGAGAGATCACTGCAGTAAGTGTGTATAATATCCCGTTGTTTATATATAACTGGTTGGCAATATTAATGGATAGATTGTTTCACATTTCTTGATATTGTAAGTGAGATGCAGTGATTATTCTTTTATGTAGATGTTTGCGTTCTTGTCCAGGAAACTATTCTGTGATTTAAGTCTCAGCTCTGTTACTTGGCAACTGTCTGATCATGAGTAAATTTCTTAACATTTTAAAGCCTGATAACTTTGTATAAAATGGGAAGAATAACGTGTCTCTTTGTTAGCTTGTTGTTAAGGACGAGTAAGTCAACGCTCTCATTTACTTTCACTCAGAATTTACTATTTAATACTTTGACCCATATACACAATATTCCTCTGGACTCAGCATATCCATGCATTGACATACTTCCCAGACTGCTTTAAGAAAATATCTTTTAGAACTTCATAATATTACAAATTCAGGTAGGAAGATTTCTTTAATGAATCTGGAATATGAACACAATTTATTTTAAATGTTTCTTTGTCTTAATGGAAAGGTTCAAGATATCTTCTTTTTTTGGTAATGGGTAATAAGCCAAGAGCACTGAGCTACACATCCCTGGCCTTTTATTTTTTTTGAGACAGGATCTTGCTAAGTCTCTGAGTTGCCCAGACTGCTTCAGCTTCCCAGAGTGTGGGGATTGCAGACATGCGCCAACATGTCTAGTTCTAAATGTTTTCTTAACTGTAATATTCTTTTTTTTTTTTTTTTTTTTTGGTACCAGGGATTGAACTCACAACCTTGCACTTGTTAACTGTAATATTCTTACAATTCACATTTCTAAAGGGAAGAACACATTCATGTGACATGTACAATGATACCTCGGTTGTCAGATGTCTCCAAGCTGGAACTTTCCACTACTCAAACAGCAAAGTCACACGTCCATCTTGCTGCGGACACAAAGGAGTGACGCTTTAGTCTAAGGGCCACTCTCACATCCGTCATTGTGCTTTTTTTTTTTGCACTTTATTTGTGTACAATATCATAACCACGAGTCCAAAGGAAGTTAGTGATATCAGCAGTAAAGCTAAGAGGGAAAATGTGAGAAACCATGATAGAGTTCAAGAAAGAAATTTGTTACAGTCCTGGAAAAATGAATTTATGAGTAATTTTTGAGCCTCATACCAATTATTTGGTTTTGCAGTATTTGTTAGTGAAAAATGTTCAGTTCTCAAAATTTTTGTTATTCAAACATGAATTTGGAACAAATTGAGTTTGGCAAATGAGATATCACTGTATATGAAGTTTAAGAATTGGCAAAATTAATATAATTATAGAAGTAGAAGTGGTTACTTTGATGGTAAGATGACTAATAGCTAGAAAAAGACATTAGGAAACTTTCTTGTATGCTAAAACTATTCTGTACTCTGGTCTGAATGATAAACAAGAATACTGAAAATAAGATGTTCACATAATATTTATTTTTTATTATATATAAATTATACAGCAAACTTACTGGAGCAGGTGGGGACAGATATTAGTATCCTTTGTTGACCGGTATCCAGGTCAATAAGATATAAATTGGAATAAGAAATAAATGGACTGTTTATAAAGATAGAGAACCCTCAGAGTTAAAGTTGTATATATTCAATTACACTTATGTAGAATATGCATTATTTTATAGATAAGTTTTTTCAGGGTTTTCTTAACTTGAAAATTCTTTGCTTTTTACAGATTGAAAGTAGTGTTCCCTCCCAACTGCTGGAGTCAGTACTACAAGAACTGAAAGGTTTGCAGGAATTTCTAGATAGAAATTCTCAATTTGCAGGAGGACCATTAGGAAATCCAAAGTAAGGATCAAAAGGATTAATTTATTTATTCACTTTTTTCTTGCCATTGTATTTTTTGTTGTGGACATATGATTCACATACCATAAAATTCATCCTTTTAAAGTGTGTGTTCAGTAGCTTTTACCATGTTCACAGGATAATGTGACTGTCACTACTACCTGATTTCCACAGCCTTTTCGTTATGCTGGGAAGCCCTGTGCCCATTAGCAGTGATACCTTCTTGTCTTCTCCAGTCCCTGACAAGCACTAATCTACTTTCTGTCACAGTGGATCAGCCAATTGTAGATATTTTATGTGAACAGAAGTAGGCAAAATAACCTTGTACCTTTCCTTTGGAATAATGTTAAGAAAGCATCCATTTGTATTTTATTGTATACTTTTAGATAAAATGGTGAAAACCTCTTCTGCATTTTACAGTGATGAATTTATATAATTTTTCTCACCTTACTAGAATTAGATTAATATGCATTCTAATTTTGACCAAACCTGGGACACCTGCAACATTAATTTCATTTAGTATGGGAATATTTTAAGCAGTTTTTTGAGATAGTTTATGTACTATGAAATTCATGCATTTTAAATGTTCAGTTCAATGACTGTTCATAAATACATACACGATCCACTTTTTGGAACATTTCTGTCACCTAAAAGACATGCTCTTGTCCATTTTCAGTCATTGCTTGCTTCCACCCTGGCCTTAATTACGAATCTACTCTATGTCTATGAATTTGCCTATTCTTGACATTTCATATAAATAAAATCATATAGCACAATGGCGAACCTTATAGAGGCCGAGTAACCAAACTGCAACATAGAACCCACTTTTTTATCATGAAGTGCCAACACTGCAGTTAAACCTGAATACTGAGGTTTTATTTAGACAAAACAACTGTTATCCGATGCTTGGCTGCTGAGGTGACTTGACTTGTGTTCCTACAAAGAGGGCTCTGCATGCCTGCTGTGATATGCATGCCATAGGTTCACCACCACTGTCATGTAGTGCATGGGGCCTGAGTTTGGTGTCTTGCATTTAGCATGTTTGAGGATTATGTTGTGGTATGTGTTAGTTCTTTATTCCTTTTTGTTGCCTGATAGATATGGAATTTTAAGGTCATAGACCATTTCTTCCAGAGATCTTCATCTACATTTGTACCATTTTTTCCATACAAAGTTTAATGTTGCAGATGAAAAGTATATTCTTTTTCCTCTGTAAATGATATGCCTTTATTTTGATTTTTTTTTCTGCTTTTTCTGCTTCTTTATTATTGAAATTCTGAAATTGCACCATGCTGTCTTTCAAGCTCTCAGTGAGCCTTGAGACCTAAAAACTTACCTTTGATAAATTTCTTTCATGTTGTTTCTTAATTTTTGTAGTATTCCATCTGTCCTGGTCTTTGCAGAGTCGTACTGACTCCTAAGTTTAGCCTCAGTTTTTTTCTCTCTGTCATTTTCTTTCTCTTTTGTCCTCTTGTGTTTGAGACAGGGTCTTGCTAAATTCTCAGGCTGACCTCAAACTTGCCATTGTCCTGGCCCAGCCTCCTGAGTAGCTGGAATTATAGGCATTCACCACAACACCCAGTTTCTTTCTTGCTTGCTTTTTTTTTTTCTTCCAGATTAGAGAAATTTCTAGTTGAGTTTCTTAAACATTTAACTCATTTAATCTCAGTCATTTTAAGCAGCAACTGTTGAGTCCCTGATACATTTTCTTTCTGGCCATGATATTTTTAATCCAAGAACTCTCTTTTGTGCGGTACTAAGGATTGAACCCAGGAGTTTCACAATAAGCTACATATTTAACTCTCACCACCCTCTCTTCCTCTTTCCCTCTTCACTCTGGCTCTCCCTTCCTTTCACTCTTAGTATATGTTTGTGATACACATTACTTACTTTCATCTTGGTGAATTGGTACATAGCCACATTATATGTTAGTCATCTTTATTTCCCCTTCCCTTCTCTAGCCTCCCTTCTCCCCCATTTCCCATATTCCCGTCCCATCTCCACAGGGTCTATCTCATTGTTTCCTGTCATCTCCCTTTCATTTGCTCTTTAAATTATTTATATTTTGGGTTTCTCTTTTTGATGTCAAAATAATTCATTTTTATTTTATTAGTACATGTTTGCAGTACATGATTCCATTCATCATGGGGAGTTGGTTCCATAGTGGTTGTACTAGTTTACGTTCCGACTAACAATGTATAGTAGAAGAGTTCACTTTCTCCCATAAACTCAACAGCACTTGTTGTTTTTTGAGTTCTTGATGATAGCTATTCTTTCTAAAGTAAGATGGAATCTCAACGTTGTTTTTATTTACATTTTTCTGATAAAGATGCTGAACATTTTTTTCATGTACCCACTGGGCATTTGTACTTCTTCTTTTGAGAAGTATCTATTCATTTCAAATGTTTGTTTTTTGATTTGGCCTTTCATTTTTGGGTGTCTAGTATTTGGGGGGATTGTCTTAGTTTTTTTTTGAGTTCTGTATTTATTCTAGATATTAGTCGTCTGTCGGAGGAATAGCTGGCACAAATTTTTTCCCATTCTGTGCATTGTTAACTCGATTGTTGCCTGGCTGTGCAGAAGTTTTTTGTTTTGTTTTGTTTGTTTGTTTTTGGTACCGGGGATCAAACTCTGGACCTTGCACTTGCACGGCAGGTGCCAGAACCACTGAGCTAAATCCCCAGCCCACAGAAGCTTTTTAATTTGATATAAAACCATTTGTTGATTCCTGGTATTGTTTCTTGAGCAGTAGGGGTCCTGTTTAGAAAGTCCTTGACTGAACCTACATTAAGAGTTTTATGGGACCGGGGATTTAGCTCAGTGGTTTCACCGCCTGCTGCGCAAGCGCAAGGACCCAAGTTCGATCCCCGGTACCAAAAAAAAAAAAGAGTTTTACTGTTTTTATCTTCCAGCAGATTCAGTGTTTCTGATTTTATATCTAGGTCTTTGATTGGTCTTAGTACAGGTTAAGAGATACGGGTCTAGATTCATACTTCTGCATGTAGATAACCAGTTTCCCCAACACCATTTGTTAAAGTGGCTACTACCTTTTCTTGAGAGTATGTTTTTGACTGCTTTGACAAAATTCAAACGACTGTGAATGTGCCTGGGGTTGTTTCTGCATTTATTCCATTGGTGAACATGTCCTTTTTTTTTTTTTTTTTTTTTTATGGTTCTTTTCAGTTTATTGCATGTAGGAGTTATACTAGTCCAAGGGAAAGTGGACCCCAAATGGTTACATTATACAAGCCGTGAGGTTTTTAAACTCGTGACAAGGGACAGAAGGGATATTCTACTCATTGCAAGGAAATCCTCACTTAAGTTTCAGTGAGCCACATTACTTAAAACCCATGAACCTTCAGCTGATCGTCCTTAGCCAGTCCAATCTCTACCAGGAACTGGTGTATGTTCTTGCGTTGGTCACCCTGGAGCTGGATTACTTCTCCATATTCTGGATGCTCGATTACAGTACCATTGCAGGCAAATTTCTTCTTAAATGCCTACACCAGTTTCTTTTTATCGTAGTCATCAGCGATCCCTTGGACAGTGGTAAGGGTCTTCCTGCCGTTTCTCTGTTGGATTCTTATATGGATATAATCCTCAGTGCCAGCAGGAAGCAGGTCATCACCCTTACTTGCATCAGCAAAGGGGTCGAAAGAGTGGAGGTTCTGGATAGCGGACAAACGATACTATTCCTTTTCCTCAGTGGAAATGGCCTGCGGAAGGCAGCTGCGGGAGAAGGCGGGTGGGGGGGACGGATCGCCGGGAAGCAGGGGGCTCAAGGGGGAGGCAGCTGAGTCCTCAGCGGCAGCTCAGTGACTGGGGCAACATGTCCATTTTTGTGCCAGTATCATGCTGTTTTTATCACCGTAACTTGGGCTTTTTGTTTGTTTGGTTTTGGTACCAGGGATCAAACTTGGGACCTTGCGCTTGTAAGCCAGGTGGCAGAACCACTGAGCTAAATCCCCAGCCCCATGTAACTTGGTAGTATAACTTAAAATCTGGGATTGTAATGCCTCCTGCTTTTCTCTTATTGCTCATGATTGCTTTCACTATTCTGGGTCTCTTCTGGTCCCATATAAATTTGTCCCTTTTTTTTTCTTTTTTTGGTACCAGGAATCAAACTCAGGACCTTGCGCTTATGAGGCAGGTGCAGTGCCACTTAACTAAATCCCTAGCCCTGGTTCCATATAAATTTTAGGAGTGTTTTTTCCTAGTTCTATGAGGAATGCTCTTTGTATTTGCTTGGAATTGCATTAAACCTTTATATCATTTTTGGTAGTGTGGCTGTTTTGATAATATTGGTTCTGTCGATCTAGGAACAGGGGATGTCTTTCCATTTTCTAATATCCCCTTTAATCAATCTCTCTCTCTTTCTCTTTCTCTTTCTCTTTCTCTTTCTCTTTCTCTTTCTCTTTCTCTTTCTCGAGTACTCTAGTTTTCATTATAAAGGTCTTCCACTTCCTTGGTTAGATTGTTTTAGGGTTTTGTTGAAGCTACCGTGAATGGGATTTTTGCTTGTTCCTTTCTTTCTTTCTTGGTGAGTTCATTGTTGGTATATAGGAGTACTGTTCATTTTTGTGTATTGATTTTATATTCTGCCAGTTTGCTGAATTACTAGTTAGGAGTATTACGTTGCGAGTTTTTTAGGTCTTCTACAAAGGATCATGTCATCTGTGAATAAAGATACGATATGTAGTTTGACTTCTTTCTTTCCTAATTGTATACCTTGTATTTCTTTCTCTTTTCTGATGCTCTGGATAAAATTTCAAGTACTATATTGAACAAGCGTGGTGAGTGTGAACACTCTTGCCTATTCCTAATTTTAGAGAGAAAGCTTTCAGATTTTCCCCAGTTAGCATGATATTGGCAGTGAGGTTGTCATAAATGGCTTTTATCAGTTGGAGATAAGATCCTTTATACCTATTTTTATCAGGGTTTTTATCATGAATGGTGTTAGATATTTAAAAGGCTTTTCTGCATCTATTGAGGTTGTGGATACAGTTTTAAAAATTGAATTATATACTTTAACTAGTTAAATTGTATGTTATCTGAGTTAGCTCTCAGTAAAGCTGTTATACACACACACACACACACACACACACACACACACACACACATCACAAATTCTGTAATTTCTGTTTCAGGACTACTGCCAGAGTTCCGCAGAGGCTGATAGGATTCATGCGTCCTGAAAATACTCAGCAAATGCAACAAGATCTCCAGAGGAAGTTTCATGGTAAATTATTGCTTCTGAGCAGTTATATGTACATGATTGCAATAAAGAGTTTTTTTGGGCCGGGAATTTAGCTCAGTGGTTCTGGAGCCTGCCTCGCAAGCGCAAGGTCCTGAGTTTGATCCCCAGTACCAAAAAAAAAAAAAAAAAGTTTTATTACTTAAATAGGAAATAAACAGTGGGCTGGTTTTGATAAGATCTAGTTTGATTACAAATATTTTGATTAAAATATAACCAATGTGATTGGGACAGTGTTGAAAACATTTATTTCCATAGATCTTTCAGCTTGTAGAGTTTTGTCCCTTAGGACACCAGAAAACATAATACACGTTTTTTCTTTTTTTACTGTGGTACCATATATCTACCATAAATTTACCATTTTAACTGTATTTTGTTGTGTAGCTATCACCAGCATCCATTTCCAGAACTTTTTTCATGTTTTCAGAGTGAAATTCTGTATATACACAATTACTTCCCATTTTTCCCCTATCCTCATCCCTGGCAACCGCTGTCACACTTTGTGTTATCACTGGCTTATTTCACCTAACATACTATCTTTTCTTTTTTCTGTGGTCTGGTAATCAACACAGGAGCTCTCAACTGAGCTACATCCCCAGCCCTTTTTTATGTTCACTTTGACACTGGGTCTTGGTAAGTTGCCCAGGTGGCCTGGAACTTGCAGTCCTCCTACCACAGCCTCCTGAGTATGTAGCTGGGATTACAGGACTGTGCCACCATGCCTTGCTTAGCTTACTATCTTCAAGACTCTTCCAGGATGTAAGATATGTTAAAAGTTCCTTCTTTTTTAAGCCTGAATAATACTCTGTACTATTATATGTCACACTTTGTTCATGATCAGTGGGCACTGGGTTGCTTCCACCTTTTGGCTATTGTGAATAATGCTACTCTGAACATGAGTACACAGATAGAAATTTGAGTCCCTGTTTTTGCTTTTCTAGAGATACATATCCAGAAATAGAATTGCTATATTATATGATAATCCTCTTTTTAATTTTTATCTTCAGACAATCTTGCTGCATTGCCCAGCGTGGTCTGTTGTAAATTTAGGCAATCTTCCCACCTCAGCCTCCCAAGTAGCATGTGTCCCTATATCCAGCTTATTTTTATTTTTGGTTTTATTTTTATTTTTGGTACTGGGGATTGAACTCAGGACCTTGCACTTGCAAGGCAAACGACAGCACCACTGAGCTAACTCCCCGGCCCTAGCTTATTTTTATTTTAAGGAACTGCCTGTTCTTTCCCATAGCAGCTGTATCATTTTGCATTTTCACTAGCAGTGTAAATAGGTTCCAGTTTCTCAACATTTATTTCAATATATAATAGCCATCTTAATAGAAGATATCTCAATGTGATTTTGGTTTGCATTTCCCCAGTGCACTGTAATACAACAACACACACCACTACCACCACCGCCACCCCACCAGGGATTGAACTCTCTGCTTGCCAGGCGGCATGGTGCCACTGAGCTACATCCCTGGCCTGTGATACAACTTTTTGTAAAGCTATGAATCAAATATTTGGCTGTGTTTTTCATCTGTTATAAATTCTAACAAAGAAAGAACAAGAGAAATCCTCATAGTCATCAGTTGTTCCACATATGAATTAGAATAATAAATTTCACTTAAATTTCCCCTATTTAATTTTTTCGAAGTTCTTTTGCCTTCTGTTAAGAGTCAGGTATTCTGGCTGATAAAACTTTCTTAACTAAGATCCAGCCATTTCTTTTGTCCAAAGCTACTTTCTTCCCTTCCTGCTGGCCCTATCCTATTCACCATTTCGTAAATTCTTTTTTTCAGAACTTTTTTTTTTTTTAAAGTGCTGGGAATTAAACCCAGGGCTTTGGACATGCTAAGGAAGCGCTCTACTACTGAGCTACAGCCCAGCCCTACTCAAATATTTAAAATCTTAGTACACACATAAAATATACACTCATAATTGAAACAAAATTTCCTACATAACTCTACCTGTGTTTTGTGGTACCTGAGATTGAAATCAGGGCCTTTGGACTAAGCTACATCCCCAGCCCCTCCCTGCCTTTTTTTTCCTCCCTGAGATAGTCTCTTAAGTTGTTAAATTGCCCACAGCAGGGTCAAACTTGTGATCCACCTGCCTCAGCCTAGCAGAGAATTCGTCTACCTGCTTTACACTCTTAATGTTTCTTTCCTTTTTTATTTTATTCTACTTGCTGTCTAAAAATTGATTATTTTAGATGCTATCGAATAATGACTTAATTTTGATAAGTGTTATAATGACATTGTTATTACTCAAGGAAATGTCCATTTTATTAAAGAAATGTATAATATAACTAAATACACAATATAAAGTATATAGGACTAAAACAACAGTATGTAGGATCCACTTTCAAGTAACTTAGTAAAGAAAAAGAAGAGAACAAATTAAAAAGGGCTGGTACGGGGCCGGGGATTTAGCTTAGTGGCACTGCACCTGCCTGGCAAAGTACAAGGTCCTGAGTTTGATCCCCGGTACCAAGGTTGGGGGGAGCTGGTAAAAACCTTGAAAATGCAAAGTTGTGTCATGACTGACTGAATTGATTTCATGAACTACCAGTGTATATTAATTCAGAGTATGAGAAATTCATTCTTGGGCAGACTTCACTGTGCTTTCCAGGAGACCATGTTTAAGGATGTTTATTGTATTGTTTTAGGAGCAAAACACTAGAAAAAATTTAAATTCCCTTTTTGTGGAAAATGGGCCAAATTGTGGTATACTTACATGATGAGAAATATTCAGCAATAAAAATAAATGTACTTGATTTATATTTATCAATATGGATAGCCTGTGAACATATAACTATGTGGGGAAAGCAATGGTGTAATTCTTAAAAGCAAAGTAATGATTTTATTTCTTATGTGCACTTGCACAGATGACCACGTATATAGCATGAGAATGAAAACTTGAGTACAGCAGCTATTGATCTTGGTTGCCCGTCATGGCAGGGGAAGGACAGTGGGGATTTCAGCATTAACTATAGTTATTATTTGAAATAGAGAAAACAACAGCTCAGTCCGTGTTGTTTTATGAAACTTCATTAATTGTATTTTGTCTTTAGAGGCTCAACTGAGTGAAAAGGTTTCACTTCAGGCAATTCAGCACTTGGTTCGAAAATCATACCAAGCTCTGGCGTTATGGAAACTACTTTGTGAACATCAATTTACTGTCATTGTAGGGGAACTTCAGAAGGTAAGGTTTGTGTTTTTTTCTTTAAGATCATAGCATTAGTAGTAAGTTTATTTTCTTTTATATGAGTTTTAATCTTACTCTTGGATTTAAAAACCATGTAGGTAATGATAAAGTTTATTATGTAGGAAGATTGCACAAAAATGTGAAACTTAAGGAAACAATTTTGTCAAAGTCACAAATTTTTTAGTGTGGGAACTTTATATCTGTTATGTGAATGAAATTTTACTCTATCAAACATATATATTTTTAAAACAATGGGTTCTAACCTTTATTTGGGTTACAGATCTCTTTGGGAATCTGATATAAACTTTCTCTCCACACCCTTAGTGAAATACATATAGAGACATTCACATAAATTTATTCCATATAAATTTGAGGAGTCCAACCTATATTAAAGACTCCTACTTTACAGATTTTTTTTTTTCTTTTTTTGCGGTATGAGGGATCGAACTCAGGACCTTGAGCTTGCAAGGCAGGTGCAGTGCCACTGAGCTAAATCCCCAGCCCGGTTTGTACTTCTCTCACTGTCTTCATTTGTATCTTTTTTAAGCATAATTATGATTGATGTTCATCTAAATGTTAGATAGGATCTTTGGGGGAAGAATGTGTGTATGCCTTTTGTTGTAAACATACATAGGAAGCAGAGCAAATACAAGAAAACTTAAACTATTTGCAAATATTTATTTCCACATATATCTGACTAATTTTAAACATTTTCAACATTTTGCCCTTTTTAATCTGTCCTCTTTTCTTTTTCTTTACTGAGTTATTTGAAAATAGATCCTACACATTATTTTATTCCTATATACTTTATATTACGTATTTCTTTAATAAAATGGACATTTTCTTGAATAATAACAATCTCATTATCACTCAGATTAAAAGTAGTCATTTGATAGCATCTAAAAATAATATTTTCTGATTGTCTTACCATATTAGTTCATTCAAATTAGGATCAAAACAGTTGATTCACTTCCCAGATTTAATTGTCATTTCTTGTAAATCTCTTTCAATCCAAAACAATCTTTGCTTCTTTTTTTTTCCGCCTTGCTATTATTGCCTTGTGGAAATCAGATCATCAATCTTTTTTTTTTTTTTTTTTTGTGGAACCGGGGATTGAACTCAGGACCTTGTACTTGAAAGGCAGGCAATAGGGCCGCTGAGCTCAATCCTTGACCATGGATCATCAATCTTGTAAAATGTTCAGCAGCCTGAAGTTGTTCTTTTATCTTCCTTACAGTAAACTTGTTCTCCTATCACTTGCATTTTCTATAATTTATTCCCCCCACCCTGGCACTGGGGATCGAACTCAGGACCTTGCACTTGTGAGGTAGGCATGGCGCCACTGAACTAAATCCCCAGCCTTTACATCTTTTATAAAATGAAAGTTAAGTCTAGATAGGCTTGATTAGGTTCAAGTTCATTTATCTGAGGAAGAAAAGAAATCCCCAGCCCACCCACAGATGGGGTCTTGCTATGTTGCCCAGGCTGCTTCAGACTCAAGATCCTTCCATCTTATCCTCCCGAGTAGCTGGATTATAGAAATTCTTCATAGGTAGTGGTTTGTATGTAATAAGACACAAGAGCTTTGTTTGTCCTACTTTTTAGTCACACTAAGATTGATTGCTCGATTCCAGAGGTAAATCCAATATTGTAAATTTTTCAATTAGGTTCTAATCAAACTTTGGTCATTTGTTGGTAATCACTGTCTGAATTGTTTATTTTATTTAGAATTAGAAAATGATAATTTTCTAAACTACAATTTTTTCCACAGTTATTGACTGTAATTCTATAAAAAATAATTTTTCCTTATCTTCTAGGGATATGTGATTACCCTGAATTCATAAGTCTTAACTCTTATGTACCAGTTTTCAAACTTAGAAGTGATCCTCACTTGTTTTCATTAGTGTCATTTGAGTGAGGTTTGGGTTTTTGTTTTTTGAGGGGTTTTTTAAGGCACATACTTTTTTTCCTTTTTGAAAATTGATCCTATTTGTTTAGTTATGAAAGCCATTTTCTTTTCCATGATAGGTAGAAAAATGATTTTCGAGTGACAAATATCATGTAGGTAGTTTTTTTAACCTAGATATTGTTTGGGATCCATCATCAAAGCTTCTTTCTTTGCATTACCAATTATATGCTCAAAGAATGCAGATTAAGTGATTGATCAAAAATTTGAACACACTTTGGGTATTTGTTGAAATGTGGAAAAGAGAAATATCTGCATCATTAAACAGAATATTTTACTGTAATATAAATCACCATAGTACTTTAGAACTACATATTTTTTTAAATGCAGATCTAACTCCAGTGTTAGAAGGCCTCAAATAATAGAATTCTAACATTATTTAGGAAAAAATAAAATGTAAGTTTAATATTTTTTAAAATATAGCCAATTGGGCCAGGGATTTAGCTCAGTGGTTCTGCCGCCTGCTGCGCAAGTGCAAGGACCCGAGTTCAATCCCCGGTACCAAAAAAACCAAAAAAACAAAAATATAGTCAAGTGATTGTATTTTCCTGATTACAGCTAAAGACAGGTGACCTGGCTGAAGTTTTGACTTCATCTTCCTTATTTGTAAACTGAGAGGTTTTAATTAGACCTACTGTCAGTTGTTCTCCAACTCTAAATGATTTTATGCAAGGTGCTAGAATTGTTTCTATAGGGAAGGGGATGATAAGAATTAAGATGTGTTATGTATATGTACCAACTCCACACAAGGAATGGAATCATTATGTATAGTACTGCAAACATGTACTATTTTTTTTTTAAAGCTGAAAAAAATATTAAGAAAAAAAAGAAATGTTTCTATAGTTTAGTATTTTTTCTTATTTTTGGTGCTTGGTATTGCACCCAGGGCTTCATGTATGGTATGTAAGCACTCTACCACTGAGCTACATGCCCCAGCCCTATTTTGAGTTATATACTCTGTTATTGTTTAGGTTATTAAAAATTTCATTCTGTGTAGAAATGTATTTCTACAACTTTTTTTTTTTAATACCGGGGATTGAACTCGGGACCTTGCGCTTGGAGGCAGGCGGAGGAATCACTGAGCTAAATTCCCAGCCCCTCTACAATTTTGACAGAAAAGATTTTCTCTTATCCTCCCAGGAGTTTCAAGAGCAATTGAAGATCACCACCTTTAAAGATCTGGTAATCAGGGATAAGGAACTCACAGGGGCATTAATTGCTTCTCTTATCAACTGCTACATCAGAGATAATGCTGCTGTTGATGGCATTAGCTTACATTTAAAAGACATCTGCCCACTTCTGTATAGTACTGATGATGCAGTTTGTTCTAAGGTATGATGTTTTGTTAATTCATTGTATTTTATAAGATGTTTCATGATATGCTGAAAATCACACTAGAATGGGAATCAGGAACTGTCATGGTTTACTTAATATATAACCTGAGCAGGATTTTTTTTTTTTCCTTGGTACTGGGGATTGAATTTAGGACCTTGTGCTTGCAAGGCAGGCGCACTGCCACTGAGCTAAATCCCCAGCCCCTCAGCACGGTTCTTAATCTGTCCTGGCCTCAGAATTCTCATCTAAGAAAGGGGGTTGAAATATATGAAATTTTAAAACCCAAGTGTACTCTTTGAAGTTTCTCATATAAAGAATCTTTGGTAGAATTTTTATGCCATCTTTAAAAAAAAGAACATTTAGAAATTAAGGAAATTAGGGAAGTAATCTCTCTCCATAGAATATAAGGAAAATCTGTAATGAATTAGAGTTAATGGAGCAATTTTTATCGATCCTTTCCTACAGGTGGACACATAAATCAGTGTTGCACTGACTGCCTGCTGACCAATAATGTATTGATTAGATAGAATTACCAGACAGTCTATCTTGCTTAACATATTTGTGAGAGGAATTAAGAATAGGTAGGATGTTTTTTGTCAAAAACTTTTCTGCCTAAAATTAAGAAGTTTGTAGATTTATTATTTTTAACAATGATAAACCACATATAAATTTTGACATACACTAAAACTTGTGTTGACAGCATCATCTGCTTGTTTTCTTTTGTATCTTTTTAAGTTCTTGTCATCTCATTCTAGGCAAATGAGCTTCTCCAGCATTCTCGACAAATTCAAAGTAAGACTGAAAAAGAAAGAATGTTAAAGGATTCATTGAGGGAGTATCAAAAAATCAGCAATCAAGTGGACCTTTCCAGTGTTTGTGTTCAGTATAGACAAGGTGAAAAATGTGCTTCATGTATTTTACTTTGTTCAGAGGATAAATAACAGTGTGTGAATTAAGCAAGGCAATGATGAAGAATCTGGTTCTTCCCAAATCTTCCTTCAGATCAGTGGCCCAAGTGATATCTTGAAATATGTAACTTTTTCCCCCTCCTGGTCTGGGAATTAGATCCAGGTCCTTGTGCTTGGGAGGCAAGTCTCTTACCACTAAGCTGCACCCCTGTTTATCCTTTTTCTTTCTCATTAGTGCGCTTTTATGAGGGAGTAGTGGAACTCTCTCTTACTGCTGCAGAGAAAAAAGATCCTCAGGGTCTTGGACTTCATTTCTATAAACATGGAGAACCAGAAGAAGATATAGTTGGACTTCAGGCTTTCCAAGAAAGGTGAGTTCTAGTCCCGTCCCAGAGTGTCATCTTTGGTCCGGGGATTTAGCTCAATGATGCCTCACACCTGCCTCGCAAATTCAAGGGCCTGAGTTCGATCCCTGGTACCAAAAAAAAAAAAAAAGATTGTCATCTTTACAGAGACAGACTTTTTCTTTGTATAAAGTTGGGTTTTTTTTGGTACTGGGGATCGAACTCGGGTCCTTGTGCTTGTGCAGCAGGCAGTGAAACCGCTGAGATAAATCCCCGGCCCTTTTGTGTACAGTTTTGATTGATCTTATCTGGGAAATACTATTTTGAGTACACCACCTATTAAAATTTGATTATGCTTTTACTTTAAAATAACTTACTGTTTCATCAAGGCCTGCATCAGGGATTCTTTTTTTTTTTTTTTTTTCAGAGAAACAGTTACAATGTTTGTTTTTTTAAATATGTTTAATAATGTATGTACAGAAATTGTCACAAATCATACTTTTATAGTGGAATGAATTTTCACAGAGCATAGCCATGTAACCAAAAGCCAAATGCATAAATGCCGCCAATCACATCTCATTCTTTTTTATCATTATTATTATTATTTTAGTTTATTGGTTCATGTGTGTAGTGCATCATGTTTACATTCCTGTTGTTTTTTTGTTTTTTGTTTTTTCAGATTAAGTTTAATGGTACATTTTAGCTATACATAATGATCACGTTCATCAGGGAGTTTGTGAGAAGTTGGTACATGTATATAATACATTTTAATTCCTTTTCCATCCCCTTTCCCTTCTCTCCCTCCCCCCTCCATCCCTTGATCCCTTTCCTTTTTATTTAAAAAATTTTTTTGTTTTATATGTTCATAGTACATAATGTGACATTCCTTGTGTGGAGTCGGTACATGTACCTAACACATTCCAATTCCTTTTTTTCATCCCTTATCCCTTGATCTCTTGATCCCTTTCCCTTTGAGAATGATCTCTTCTCTTGATCCCATCTTTTTTTTTTTTTTTTTTTTGGTACCAGAGATCGAACTCAGGAACTTGCACTTGCGAGTTAGGTGCCGGAACCACTGAGCTAAATCCCCAGCCCTTGATCCCATCTCTTGATTCCTTTCCCTTTTAAGAATGATCTCTTCTTGCTTCTTATTATCTGTCTTTTAATCTGCCTTTTATTTTGCTCTCTACTTTTACTTTGAGTTTCTCATATAAGAGAAACAATAAGATACTTAAACTTGTGTGTCTGATTTATTTCACCTTATATTATGGTTTCAAAGTACATTCATTTTCCTACAAATGACTCAAGTTTATCCTTTTTTTTATTGCTACTGAGTTTTGTGTTTTTTTGATACAGGATCTTGTACTTGCGAGGCAGGTGTGGTGCCACTGAGCTAAATCCTGGCCCAAGTTTATCCTTTTTTATGTCACAGTACTACTCCATGGTGTGAGATACCACATTTTCTTTATCTCTTCATCTAGTGATGAACATATAGGCCACTTCTAAGATTTAGCTATTATGAATTGTGCTGCTATAAATATGAGTATGCATGTAGCTCTGTAATATGATACCTTTAACTCTTTGGAAAGATACCTAGAAGGAGAATACCTGGGTCAAATTGAATTTCTCATTTTAGGTTTTTGAGGACTCTTTATACTGATTTTCATAGTGGTTGTACTAGTTTACATTCTCACCAACAGCATAGAATGATCCCTTTTTTCCCTGCAGCTTCTCCAGCATTTGTTATTATTAGATTTCTTGATAATGGCCATTTGTTACACGGTAAGATGGAATCTCGTTGTTGTTTTAATTTGCATTTCTGTAATGGACAGTGATGGGCATTTCTTTATGTATTTATTGGCCATTTCTACTTTGTGAATTTTCTATTCATTTCACTTGCTCATTTTTTTCATTAAGTTTATTGGTGCATTTTGGGTATAAAATACAGTTACATTCATAATTGGGGTCGTGTATCACTTGACCATTTTTTTATTGGGTCTTCTATTTGGGGGGGGGGTCCTGATTTTTTTGAGTTCTATCACATGTAATATTCTAGATAGGAGTCCGCTGAGAAATCGCTGGGAAAAATTTCTTCCCATTCGTAAGGTTGTCTTTTCACTCTGTTCTTTTGCTGTGCAGAAATTTTTAAATTTAATATGATCCCATTTGATGATTCTTTGAATTATTTTCTGTGTAACTGGGGTTCTCTTCAGAAAGTCCTTGCCTGTGCCTGTGACTTCAAGAGTTTTACCTATCTTTTCTTGTTTCTGATTTCATATTTAGTTCTTTGATCTTCTTTGATATAAGTTTAGTACATGGTGAGAGAGATGGGTCTAGACTCAGTCTTTTCCATGTACATAGCCAGTTTTTCTAATACCATTTATTAAAGAGGCTATATCTTTCCTCCAGTATGTTTTCCTAACTCCTTTGTCAAAGATCAAATAGTCAGATGTACTTGTTTTTGCATCCTCTCTCCTGTTCCTTTGATTCACATGTCTGTTCTTGTGCTAGTATCATGTTGTTTTTACCATAGTAACTTTGTAATATAACTTCAAGTCTGGGGTTATGATGCCTCCCACGTTGTTCTTTAGCATTTTTCATTATATTCTGGGTCTCTTCTGGTTCCATATGAGTTTTAGGATTGTTTCTCCAGTTCTATGAATGAAAAATGGCATAGGAGAATTGGAGGAAGAGGAATGGAGAGGGAGAGAAGGAGAAAGGGATTAAAAAAAGAAAAAACAAGCTGTGGTATGTACATGTAACCACCCTCCAAGATGATTGTAAATTGCATGAACTACAAATCTGTACTAATAAAATTAAAAAAAAATTTTTTTAAAGAATGCTGTTACAGTTTTGATTGGGATTGTGTTAAATCTGCATATCAATCTTGAAAGTATGGCCATTTTGATTATATTGGTTCTGCCTGTCCAGAAACAGGGGATATCTTTCCATTTTCTTTTTTTTTTTTTTTTTTTTTGGTACTGGGGATCAAACTTGGGTCCTTGTCCTTGTGGAGCAGGTGGCGAAACCATTGAGCCAAATCCCCAGCCTCTTTCCATTTTCTGATGTCCTCTTTGATTTCATTTTTTAGAGTACTATAGTTTTTTGTACAGGCCTTTCACTTCTCTTAGTTTAATTCCTAAGTAACCCATTTTTCTTGGTATTATTGTAAATGGTATTGTTCCCCTAATTTCTTTCTCAGTGGGTTCATTATTAGTGTAAAGGAATGCTGTTTATTTTATATCCTGCTGTTACTGAATTTGCTTAATTCTAACTTTTTTTTTGCCATGTAGAGGATCTTGTCATTTGCAAATAATGTTTTTTTTTTGGGGGGGGTGGTCTTTTGGTACCAGGGATCGAACTCAGGACCTCATGCTTGCCAGGCAGGCACTGTGCCCCTGAGCTAAATCCTGGGCCCCATTGATAATTTGACTTCTTTCTTTCCTAATCCCTTTTCTTTTTCTTTCCTAATTGCTCTTGCTAGTGTTTCAAGTACTGTGTTCAACAGGAGTGGTGATAGAGGACATCCTTGTCTAGTTCCTGATTTTAGAGGGAGAGCTTTCAGCTGTTCCCCATTTAGCATGATGTTGGCAGTAGGTTTGTCCTAATAGCTTTTATTAGTTTGAGATAAGGTCCTTCAATACCTATTTTCTTCAGTATTTTTGTCATGAAAGGATGTTGGATTTTGTCAAAGGCTCTTTCTGCCTCTATAGAGATTATCATGAGATTTTTGTCCTTGCTTCTACTTATGAGATGTATTACATTTATTAATTTACATATATTGAACCAACCTTTCATCCCTGGGATGAAGCCTACTTGGTCATGATTTGTGATCTTTTTCTATAATTCATTGCATTCTGTTTGCCAGTATCTTGTTGAGGATTATTCATTAGGAGGATTGGTCTATAGTTCTCTTTTTTTGGTTGGCTCTTTCTCTGGTTTTAGAATCAGGGTAATTGATGATAATTCCAGGAATGACATTGGGAATACTCCTTCCCTTTCAATTTCATTTAAAAGCTTGTGGGATATTAGTTTTAGAACTTGCCTAAAGTTTTTGGTAGAATTTGTCATGAACCCATATGGACCTGAAATTTTCTTACTTGGTAGGGTATTTATTAGTGCCTCGATTTCATTGCCTGCTATTGGATTATTCAGGGTTTTAAGATCTTGCTTTAATTGTGGTAATTCATATGTATCTAGGAAACTATCCATTTCCTCTGAATTCTGCAATTTATTGGTATATAGGTTTATGTAATAGTTGGTAATGTTTTTTATTTCAGCAGTGTCTGTTGTGATTTTACCTTTTTCATTTGTAATTGCATTGATTTGGGCCTTTCCTTTTTTGGTTGGATTGGCTAAGGGTTTGTCTTTTTTTTTTTTTCTTTCAAAGAACCAACTCTTAGATTCATTGTTTCTTTGTTGTTTTGTTTTTTTTGGGGGGGGGTCTCAATTTTGTTGCTTTCTGCTATGATCTTTATAATTTCCTTCTTTGTATTGGATTTGGATGGTTCTTGCTTTTCTAGGACCTTGAGGTGCATCATTAGGTTATTTATTTGGGCTCACTGCATGGGCATTCACAGGTATAAACTTCCCTCCTTGGACTGCTCTCATTGTGTCTCATAGATTCTGGTATGTGATTCTGGTATTACTGGCATTATCCTTTAGTTCTAGAAACGGTCTTTATTTCTTCCTTGAATTCATTGTAACCCATTGTTAAGAGTATATTGTTTAGTTTCCATGCATTTTCATAATTTCTGTTTTCTTTTGTTGATTTCTAGCTTTGTTGAGTTATGGTCTTGAAAATATGCATATTATAGGGCTGGGGATTTAGCTCAGTGGCACTGTGCCTGCTTTGCAAGCTCAAGGTCCTGAGTTCGATCCCCAGTATCCAAAAAACAAGAAAATATGCATGGTATAATGTCAGCTCTTTTACATTTACTAAGGCTGATTTATTGGGGACTGTGTGGTTCATTTTGGAAAAGTCCCATGTGTTGCTAAAAAGAATGTGCATTCTGTTGCTGTTGGGTGGAATACTCTAGATATCTACAGATATTCCTAATTTAACACATAACCTGTTAAACAACTGTTTGGAATTCCATCCTGGGCCTGGTGTTCGGACTGATGACTCACAGCTCCAATTTTTAACCTGTCTTTTTTTTGTACAGTTCTGTACATCTTGTTGATAGAGTGAGCCTCAATGTCTTTTTTTTTTTTTTTGGTACAGTACACAGTACTGTAATTTTTGCTGATTTTTACTGTATAGGACAGTGCTGTAGTTTTATGTTGTGTTATACATTACAATACTGCATGTAAGAGTTATCCAAATAAAAGCAAAGTCATCGAGTTGGAGTTTCCTTTGACCATTTTTTTATTCTCAATATCATAATGTACATACTATATGCAATTACTCATTTAGCGACCAATTCCTTTAACGACTTAGTCACAGGAACAGAACTGGATCATTAAACGAGGAGTGCCTATAGCTATTGTATTTTAGGCACACTCACTAAGCATTTTGTGCAAATAAACACAGCATTCATGAAAAGACAAATGTCTTCAATATATGAATTATTTCTACCATGTCTGATACTGGGGGAAAAATAAACTACCTGACTTTTTTTAATATTGGGGCAGTATCCAAAATATTTTGCCTCAGGAGCTCAAATGGGTTGTTGGACTTAATGTCAACAGTTGTGGGGTCTGGTTGTTCCCTTCTCTTCCTGGTGATTACTTTTTCCAGGATTGGGTCAAGTGGTTAGTGTTTGCCCCGGTTCCCTGTGCTATGCTCACCTGGCAGGGGTGCCACTCCTCTGTTGCAGGTCTGCTCTCTCATATAGGGAGAGGGTTGCAGGAATTCTTATTTTAAGCCTTGAGATAAAATTTTATTCTGAAAAAAAGTTGCCTTTTTTTTTTGGAGGCAGGGTCTTGCTATATAGTTCAGGCTGGCCTTGAACTCACTATATAGCATAGGCGGTCTCAAACTCATAGTGATCCTCCTGTCTCAGCCTCACAAATTCTGGAATTACAGGTGTACACCACCATACCCAGGTGAAAACAATCCTTAAAGCCTTATAAATGTTTTTGAAACTCCGTCTGTGTTTTTTTTTCTTTTTTACTATAAATTGAACCCATGTCCTTGTGCATGCTAGGCAAACACTGTTGCTGAACTACATCCCGAGCACTTTTTTATTTTGAAATGGAGTCTAACTGAATTGCCCAGGCTGGCCTCAAACATGTCTTTTCTCAGCTTCCCAGGTAGCTTGAATTACAGGCGTGTGCCATCCTTCCTGGCTTTTTTTTTTTGGTACAAACTCAGGACCTTGCATTTGTGAGGCAGGTGTGGCGCTACTAAGCTAAATCCCCAGCCCTTGTATTATTTTTAATATTAAATATATACATATATTTTATTTTATTTATTTATTTATTTGGTACTGGGGATCAAACTCGGATCCTTCCGCTTGCAAGGCAGGTGGTGGAACCACTGAGCTAAATCCCCGGCCCCTATACATATATTTTAGTATATGTGCTGCCAAAGTGAGCACTCCTATACATATATTTTAAATCATGCTGAAGTTCTTGTGCATATTTTTTTTTCTTGTATGTATTTAAATAAAGTAAATCAGTTCCTTTCTGGTTAAGTAATATAATTGCTCCCTTTCCATTCTTTTCCTCAGACTACAAGCTTATAAATGCATTACAGACACACTTCAAGAACTGGTAAATCAAAGCAAGGCTGCTCCTCAGTCTCCTAGTGTACCCAAAAAGCCTGGTCCTCCTGTGTTATCATCTGATCCTAATATGCTGAGTAATGAAGAAGCAGGACATCATGTAAGAAATCATAGCATATTTTCATTTTGAAAGTATACTGGTTTAGAAGTTCTGCACTGTGGTACATAATCATCTTGGGAAAGATAGAAATTACCATTTAAGAATTCTTTAATTCTTGCTTGGGGTTTAGGGCAAGATATTGGGATGTCCAGCAACCAACCCTTTTTGCTAATTTTACTATTTTCTTTATTTTAGTTTGAACAAATGATTAAATTGGCACAGCGATCCCAAGATGAGCTCTTTAGTATTGCCCTTTATAACTGGCTAATACAAGCTGACCTTGCAGATAAACTGCTACAGGTAAAAAATATTTTTTAGTAGAATTGTTAACGTTCACTTAAATTTAAAGTAGCATAGCTCAATGAGTTAAGCTTATATATAGTTATAGAAAATTCACTTTTGCATTGCTTGTCATTAGGTATTACTATAAAACAAGTCAAAGGGCTGGGGATTTAGCTCAGTGGTTCCGTCACCTGCCTCTCAAGCACAAGGTCCTGAGTTTGATCCCCAGTACCAAAAATAAAAAAAAAATAAAATGAAACAACCAGGTAATATCTTCTTCTAAGAAGCAAAGTAGATTGTTGCTTTAATATTCTAGAAGGTGATTAGGGTAGTTTACATTGTGGAGTAGAAGTCATTGCATTATGAATTAGGAAATCTGAGCTTTGTCTTAATACTGTCATTTAGTCATTTTACTAGTCTTAAGTTTCATGTTCCTTGGTCTATAAAATGAGTACATGGCATTTAATAATTTCAAGAGTGCTTTTGAGTTCAGAGTCTGGGAATCAGTATCTGTTATCAAAGTTTATTATAAGTTGTTTAATGGTAAATTTTTTTTTTTTTGTACCGGGGATCGAACTCAGGTCCTTGTGCTTGCACATCAGGCAGTAAAAAGAAAGAAAGAAAGAAATGTGATCGTTTAAAATATCAGAGTTTAAGACTAAATTAGCAATATATAATTTATTATAAGTTGTTTAATGGTAAATTTTTTTTTTTTTGTACCGGGGATCGAACTCAGGTCCTTGTGCTTGCACATCAGGCAGTAAAACCACTGAGCTAAATCCCTGGCCCCAATGGTACACTATTTTTAATCTAGTGTAGTTGTTACAGAAACTCATTAATCACACAAAAATTGCTTTCTTTTTTGGTGGTTATGTTAGTTTATAATTTTGCTTTGTTTTCATAAAACAAGGCACAACTCTAGTTGCTTTAAACATATTTTCTATTTAAATAGTACCTAAGTGTTCAGAAAATGTTTCTGAGTAATTGTGCACTTTCTAGATTGCCTCTCCGTTTCTAGAGCCATATCTAGTCCGAATGGCCAAAGTGGATCAAAATAAAGTTCATTATATGGATTTACTATGGAGGTATTATGAGAAGAACAGAAGTTTTAGTAGTGCTGCTCGTATTCTGTCCAAATTGGCCGACATGCATAGGTATGAGATAATATTTTCATTGTGAAGAGTGATTGCAGACCAATTTACATCCAGATTTTACGCATTAAATAACTTACTCAGGTTATATATAAGTAGAATTTTTAGACCTTTACTTGAATTTATCTAAAGTTTAGTTTTCTTTTTCTTTTTGTTGTAATAATATATGGGAAGTACTAAAAGAATACTCACTAGGTCTTCATTATTCAAACTAAAATACTCTAAACCATGTCTTTAGATTCTCCTAGTAACAACAGTTGATTATCATTCGTAATTAAAAGAACAAAAACTGCCTTACAATGGTTTTATCATTTTAAATGTTTTACTAATTCCAGGCAAATTTCATCTGTTCCCATATTGGTTTAAATTAGTGAAAAAATCTTAGAGCATTAAGAAACCTGTTAAGATAAGCATGGGAGTTTTTAATTAGATTATAATATCAAAAGATCATTTAATAAAATATTGGACCAATCATTAATTTGTCCCTCTTTGTTTTTTTTTTTCCGGTACTGGGGATCGAACTCAGGTCCTTGTGCTTGCGAGGCAGGCAGCGGAACCACTGAGCTAAATCCCCAGCCCTGTCCCTCTGTTTTAATGCAGAATTTTTGTGTGTAAAAATACTGTATAAGTGCTATTTCTGAAAACTAAGCATTCGTAAAGTTAGCAAGAGAAAGTATTAAGTCAGACTGTTGAGAATGGTTGCTGAAAGAGTTCACTTATGGTGGCAGGTGTTTATAAGCCCAGCTCCTGAGGAGACTTGACACACAAGGATCACTTGAGCAGGAGTTTGAGGTCATCCTGGGCAATATATCTACTTGTCTCACTGGTAGAACATGTGCTTAGTGTGTGTAAGACCTTTGGTTCAGTCTCACTCAAGGAAAAGTTCATATCCTCCCCCCCAAAAAAAAATTTCATTTATGGCAGTTAGGAAGTATTAGTGTGTATGTGTGTGTGAGTCCGCACATAAAATTGTGCTGTTGTGGGTCTTTTCATTGGACCTAAAGCTTTCTTGGTTTTCTTATCCTCCTTAGGGGTGTGTGTGTGTGTGTGTGTGTGTGTGTGTATACACACACACACACACACATTTTTTTTTTTGATACCCACATATATAAAACTGAAGTAGGCCGGGGACTTAGCTCACTGGTTGTGCCACCTGTCTCGCAAGTGCAAGGACTTGAGTTGTTCGATCCTTAGTACCAAAAAATCCTGAATTTTTTTAATAGGAAGCTACTTTTTAGATATAAATATTTCTTTAGTTATCTAAAATTGTGAATCTCTTATTAGAAATCTAAAGCAGATTTATTACCTAAAATATGAATTTTTTCAAGCTTCAGGTGGCCTTTTTTTGTTCATTTGGTTTAAAATAGTGTGTTCAACTTGACATTTATATCTTTAGTCCTTAAGAAATAACTAAAATTCAAGGTTTTTCCTCTTAGCACAGAAATTTCACTTCAGCAACGACTAGAATACATTGCTCGAGCCATTCTTAGTGCCAAAAGTTCCACTGCCATTTCATCAATAGCTGCAGATGGCGAATTCCTTCATGAATTAGAAGAAAAGATGGAAGTAAGTACTAACAATACTTAAGGCATATCTATGTACAGTAGTACGCACATAGTTATTCCCTTTTCATATCTTCCTTTGGTCAGTCATAGGTCTATTCAAGTCATTATTCTAGTCTCTACCTATGTGTATTCTTTTTTATGTTTGGGTATAAATCTTAAAGAGATTTTTAAGGATACCAGTACTTGAGACATGAAACATTGCAGTAACATCTGAGTTTTTTTCTGTGGAATTTCTGTAGGTTTTTTTCTACCTGTTACTATAGCAAATGGTTGATATTACAGTCACCATGTATTCTGGGAGCTAATAAGTAAATGCATGGAATAAACTAAACTGCCTTAAATAAGAGATAAATAAACTTAGAATTGTCTAAGGCCTGTTTTTTTTTCCATAGAAATCAGGTGGGTATTCCTAATCAGCAGATGGCTTTTCCTCCACATGGTTGATTTAGGGGCCCAAGTTCTATTTTCTGGCCTTACCATTCCCTAGGGCCTTTGCTTTATCTGACAGAGAACAGTAAAGAAAAGTATATGAGAAGCACATTCACTTTCTCAAAAATTATGGCCCCAACATGACAAACTTCCACTCTCATTCCCTGAAGAGAATTTAATCATATGTCTGTCCCTTTTTGTGAAGCAATAAGTCCAGTCAAACCATTTGTGTGGCCATAGTCATGGAAGGTAATAATGTGGCTGGACAGCAAAAGCTGTCTGCTACAGTACACTTCCTGTGTCTGTCATATTGAAATGGTGTCTCTTATCTGTTTTTATATGCTATTTTTATTTTAGCAAATTTAAACTCAGATTCTAGGGGTCATTCTTTTAAATACACATTGATTTATCATAAAGAAATTAAGATATCCCCCTGTTTTCTCCCCAAACTAGGTTGCCAGGATCCAACTTCAGATACAAGAGACACTGCAAAGGCAGTATTCTCATCATTCCTCTGTACAGGATGCAATTTCTCAACTGGATTCTGAGCTAATGGATATAACTAAGGTAATAATAAGTTTTAAAAAAACAAAACAGGTAGTTCCTATAATGGTCACTGGTCACTTTATTTCCAGAAATTCCTTGTTTGTTTTTTATTTTTCTTTTTGTTTCATGGGAAAGTATAAGCAGTTTCTACAAAATAAAAAAATCCATCCTTGGTAGCTTGTGAGTGTACTGGCGGATCGTAGTTGCTTTTTCTGACTCCTAGAAAAGCCTAAGATGCTCCTGCCAGGCCAGTAGTGTTAAAGAACCTATCAGCCTCACGTACAAATATAAAAGCAGCCATTTACAGCCTTGCTTCTTGCCTTGGAAAAAGTAACTTATCTTTGCTTAACTCTTCAACCCTCTCCTTCTTAGTAATTCTTTCTTCAGTTATTCTTAGGCATAATTCCAAGTATCCTACATTACCCTTGGATTTGTCATTATTCTCATGATTCCTAACCCATAGTTTAGGCTACACTAATTCAACAAGAAATATCATTGTAGCATCTCCTTCCCAGACAACAGGAAAGGCATACATATTAAAATCTACTTGAAAATTGTCTTCATTCACCATTTTTCGATTGGAGTTATGACTATCTTCATATAGGTTGAGCACCCCAACCCAAAATGCTCCAAATCTGAAACTTTGAGCACTGATATGACACCTCACGTGGAAAGTACCATACTTGACCTCATTTGCTGAGTCACTGTCAAACGATGTTATTAGAAATATTGTAGAAAATTATCAGGCTATATGTAAAAGGTATATACGAGACAGATGAATTTCATGTTTAGATTTGGGTTCCATCCCAAAGATGCTATACATATATGCATATGTTTTAAAATCTGAAACACTTTTGTTCTTAAGCATTTTGCCTGAAGGATACTCAACCTCTAGCATAGTTTAAATACTTTAGATAAAATATTTGATGATTATCTTTAATTTTGAAGGAGTGTTACCAGGTTTTGGGATGCTGTAGTCTCCTTCTGGAGGTGCTTTCTAGGTTCTTTCTGTCCTAAGCAAAGAATTGGTCAAGACAAGCACAAACGGTAGCAAAGTTTATTCAAGATAGGAAAAGAAAACTGCAGAAGGCTGGAGATTTAGCTCAGTGGTGCCACCACCTGCCTTGTAAGCACAAGGTCCTGAGTTCAATCCCCAAACCAAAAAGAAAACTCTGCAGAGCTAGTTTGGGCGAAGTAAAAGTAGGAAAAGAAGTACACCCCACAGTGTGAGGGTGGGCCACTGGTAAGAGAGAACACAGTGGCAAAAACTCAGTGTGACTGTCCTTTTTGTATCACCCACTCCTCAGGCTGATGTCAGGTCTAGGCCATCCTGTCAAAACACTGCTCATGTTCTCAAGAAGTCCATGTGCAGGGCTTTGGGAACTGTTCTGCACATATGTCCTGGGATTTTGTAATTAACAGGCCGTGTCTACTTCCCCAGCCAGCTTTTCCACGCCCTAATTTCCTATCTCAGGAGTATTTCACTGTTAAACTCTGAATGTTGCACCCTGGTTGGATGTTTAATTTTGGGATTTTCTCCTACAGCTTTATGGGGAGTTTGCTGACCCATTTAAACTTGAAGAGTGTAAGCTTGCTATAATTCATTGTGCTGGTTATTCAGATCCTCTACTGGTACAGACACTTTGGCAAGATATCATAGAGAAAGGTAAGTGCTCATATATAAGTAGATTAGTATACATTATTTAATGACTTGGTGAAGGAGTGCGGGATGCTAGTAGCTAATGTATCTGGGGCTCATGAAAACTGTACACCTAAGTAGAGTGTAAGTGGAGGGCATCTGCATGTATTGGAGGGGTGATTGTAGGAAGTGAGCCCAGTGAATATTTTCAAGGATGCTCAATGAAAAGAATGTGTCATTTTTATGATTTATTCTACCTAGTAAGGGATCTGAAGTACTTCCTACAGAATCTCATAACTGGCCAGGGATGTAACACGCCTGCCTGGGAAGTGCAAGGTCCGAAGTTCAATCCCTGGTCAAAAAAAATTCTCATAACTAGTATTCTGGTAAGAAGAGAGATTAGTCAGTCACAGAAACACAAAATTTGCTAATTAATATAAATATAAATTCTGAAGTATTTTGTATCTTGAAACAAATAGCTAATGTAAACATTTCATATTAAAAATAAGGTGGTTTTCTATTGATGTGTCTCTTTCTTACAGAACTGAGTGATAGTGTAACTTTGAGCTCCTCAGACAGAATGCATGCTCTTAGTCTCAAGATCGTCCTCCTTGGCAAAATTTATGCGGGCACACCTCGTTTCTTTCCTTTAGGTAAGCAGTAACCCTAGGTGCCTCTGTTTTATTTTTCAGATTTTTTCTTTTTTTTTGGTTTGGGTTAGGTTTGACTTTGTTTTTGTGACACAAGGTCTCACAGTGTAACCCAGACTGGCCTTGAGGTCACTATGTAACTCAGCCCGGCATCTATTTCTCCACCTTCCAAGTTCTGGGCTATTTTCTGTTTTAATGGTTTTCTTCATTAGACAGTTCTTCACTGAAAAGTAACACTCTTTAGAGTAAAATGTAAAGTATCTTTTGTGCTGCTGAAGCTCAGCAGTTTAATTCTCTTTTCTTCAGAAAGACCTCTAAAGAATGGCACAATTTTTAGTAATTGAGTATGAAATTTTCTTTGACCAACTCTGCAAATTTATATATCCATCTTGGGACTGTGCTGACCAGCAGACTATTAGTGATTATACTGTTGGTAACTGAGTACAACTTGATGAAGATGAAAGAAAATGGCTGGTATTTTGTGCATAGGTAGCCTGTAATTGGTTCACTCCCTATTACGTTAAGGGCATATAGTTTCTTAAATAGCAAGTAGTTGGGGCCAGGGATTTAGTTCAGTGGCACTGCACCTGCCTTGCAAGTGCAAGGTCCTGAGTTCAATCCCCTGTACATCCCCCTCCCCAAATAGCAAGTAGTTGTGTTAAAATTTTATTATTTGAACTTTTTTCATAACCAAATATTGTGATTAATTTATTATATCGATAACTAGTTATTATGAGCCATTTGCCAAGCCACAATTTTTCCTCAGTGGTAAACAATAGAAGCAACAATAATATAGCCATGAAGTAGAATATTAATCACATGTGTTAATGAAAATTTGTAGAAACATGGAAATGTTCAGAATGTAGCATTAAAGTTTGTTCTTTCCCCCCTCCTCTCCCCCCTTTCCTCCTCCCTTCCCCTCCTCTTTCAGTGCTAGAGATTGAGCCCAGCTTTCCTTGTGCATACTAGGCAAGTGTTCTATATCTGAGTTTTACTCCCATTCCCAAATTATTATTTTCTTTAATGAACAGTCAAATCTGTTTCCAAACTATCGGATTTTTAGGATCTGTTCCTTGGATGTGTTGGAAATAAGTCCCCAGACTCAGTTTGTCAGGGCTAATAATAAAACACTTAGACATCAAGAAATCTCAACAAGGCATTTTACTTTTGCCCAAGGGTGCAAGCATGAGGTAGCAGGCGCTCAGGATGAAGGTCATTGCCCCTTTCATCCCCAACTCAAGAGTAGTAGCTGACCTGTAAAATTCATTGGCTGAATTCAAAGGCTTACGTCTATCCCAGTTGACTAACTACAGTGGCTCAAGGGGTTGTGGGGTTGGAGTATTGCTAAGAGAGGGGGTGTGGGGGTTGGAAGGAAAACTCCTTGGTTTTTATCTCAAAGGAGGTGGTGGTTTAAAGAGGGGGGAAATGTGGTTTGGAATGGACAGTTCTTGGTTATCTTGGAAACCAGCTGTGATCTGGGAAAAGGTACATAGTCACCATTTCTTGGGGCTCAGGATATTAACAGAGTGGGGAGATGGTAAGTAGATGGCCAGGTCATTTAAACCTAAAATGCAGTTGCTTTGGCCTTGTGTTTTGACAGAAAACACAAAGCCTATTTCTCACAGACATGGTCAGAAGTACAACTATTATAATTACACCCCTTATCATGGCCCCCCCCCGCCCCCCCCCGTTGAGACAAGATTCTCACTATATGGTTCACCGTGGTCTTAAACTCACTGTGTACTCCAGGCTGGCTTCAAAATTGTCGTGAGCCTCCTGCCCCTCACCCTCCCACGTGCTAAGATTACAGGCATGTGCTACCACACCTGGCTTCATACTCTTATTTCTTGTAGGTACAGTATTAAAACTGTACCATTTCCAGTCATTTTATTGGAGAGAAATAAAGGAAAAATAAATATATGTATAAACACATACATAGAGTAAATGTTTATAAGTAAATGAAACTGGTACTTGTGATAGTTAAAAAGGGGGCCATATTGTACACAGTTCCTTTGAGGTTATTTCTGCTTTGATTTAAGAATATTAATTTTTTGGGCTGGGCATGGTGGTGCACACCTGTATTATAATCCCAGCACGTGGGTGGCTGAGGCAGGAGGATTACTGCGAGTTTGAGGCCAGCCTGTGCTATATTGTGAGTTTAAGGCCAGCCTGTGCTATAGCAAAAACCTGTATCAAAATAAAAAATTAATTTTTGAGCTACTCTTTAGAGTAGAAGAAGCCTTCCTATTTCTGTCAGTTTCTCAACAGCAACAAGTACCCAGAGACTTCAAAGTAGGTCAAATTTTAGAGTTCTTAGAATTTTTTATTTAAGTATTTGAATGGTAAATTCCACGGTTTACACAAGTTTGGTCTCAAAATCCAGTGAATGCTATTATTGCCCATGGACATTTATGTTGGTCATTAGCAGATTTCAGGTATCACAATTATAAATTTGATCATTACCATTAAAGATCTTATTTAAGATAAAACAGATGAAAATAAGACAAAGCTAGAACCATCAAGGTAATATAAATCTGAGTGGTAGCATATTTAAAAAACATTTAATATTTTAAAATCAAGATGCCTAAAATCAGTAGGCCTTTCTGAAAACCTGTTAAATTGAGGATACAGATTTTTTTCCAGCTTTTTTAATTTTCCTTTTTTGTGGTACCAGGGATCAAACTCAGGTCATTCCTCATGCTGCGCAAGTGCTCACAGATATAGTGTAAAAATATAAATATTTTTTAAAGTTATTGGGTCCTCTCTAGTGAGATTCTAAATAACCTCTCTGTTCTTTTGGTACCTTTCTCTGTTTTCTAAGTTCCTTACAATGTTGTAGCCTTTTTAATATCTTTAAAATGTACAATTTAATGGTTTTAGTATATTCATGGAGCTGAGGTGCAGCCATTCTACAAACTAATTTTAGAACATTTATCATCTCCCAAAGAAAGCCTGTCATTTGCTGTTCCTTCCTACCCTTCAACCTGAGGCAGCCACTAATTTCCTTTCTATCTCTAGATTTGCCCACTCTGATACACATCTTAGTTTGGTTTTTTTGGTACTGGGGATCGAACTCTGGACCTTGTGCTTGTGCCGCAGGCGCCAGGACCACTGAGCCAAATCCTCGGCCCAACATCTTACTTTCATGAATGTTTATTGATAGACTGCTTGCCAGGGGTTGAACCCAGAAACTAATGCATGTTAAGCCCATACTCTCTTACTGAGCTGCTCCCGCAGCTCCCAACATTTTTTTGAAATTCATTTTGTTTCTCCCTAGCAACTACTTAGTTATGACTAAAACCTGCCTTTTGATATCAAGAGTTAAAACCAAGTTTCTGATTTTTTTCCCTTCCCAGATTTTATTATACAGTTCTTAGAGCAGCAAGTTTGTACTTTGAACTGGGATGTGGGCTTTGTAATACAGACGATGAATGAAATTGGAGTACCATTACCTAGACTACTAGAAGTTTATGATCAACTGTTCAAGTCACGGGTAAGGAAAATATTTAGTATAATAAAATTGTTTCACTTAATTTTTCTAGATACAGAGTGAGATGTTTTGATTGTGTGTATCTTGTCATTTAGTTTAATAGAGTTAATATAGTTGCAGCAAAGATTTGCTTCAATGGTTGATGCATTAGTCACCTTTGTATTGCTGGGACAAAATACCTGGCATAAACAATTTAAGAGGAAAGGTTTATTTTGGCTCATGGATCAGAGGTTTCAGTCTACAGTCATCTAGCTTTAAGATAGGAAGGGCATGACAGGAAAGCTGCTCACCTCATGGTCACCAGTGAGCAGAGCAAAAGGGAAAAGCCAGAGAAGCGATGTACCCTTTAAAGACACACCCCTAGCGACTACTCCTCCTGTTCAGCCTGCCTCTTACCAGCCCATCAGCTGCAAACCCCTCAGTGGATTAGGTCAGCGCCCTCCTGATCCAGTCACCTCTCTCAGCCCTCCCTCTGCTGCCTCTGAACATTGCTGTTTTGGGCCTCAGGTTTTAGGGGGACACTTTGTAATTCAGCTGTAACAGTTAACTGTTGGAAATTACACTTGAGGCTTCTAAAAATGATGAGAGCTGTTCTGCTGTATATCATGAGTAAAATGACATGTTAATGTTTTCAATTTCAATAAACATTCATACTTTACTCTTAGTGGAATATACTAAACCAATGTATGTATAAACACACTTAAGGGTTGTCAGTTTTTTGTTTTTATTTTTTGGCACTCCTTGGGATGAAGCCAGGGCCTTGTACTGGTAGGCAAGTGCTGTACTACTGAGCTACATTCTAGCCCATTACTTTCAAAGAACAAAGTAACATTGTATTTATTCTATGTAACCTCATCAAAACTACCAGTGTTTGGGCCAGGGATTTTAGCTCAGTGGCACCATGCCTGCCTTGCAAGCACAAGGTCCTGAGTTTGATTCCCGGGACCACAACAAAACAAAACAAAACTGCAACAACAAAAAAACTACCAGTTCTTAATGATCTTTCTCATCATATTGAACTTTATCAGACTCTGAATTTGTTTATTTTTTTGGTGGTAGTATTGGGGATTGAGCCCAAAGGCACTCTAATCCCTGAGCTAAACCCCCAGCTCTTTTTATTTTTTATTTTGAGGCAAGGTCTCACTGAGTTGCCCAGATGGGGCTCAAACTTGGAATTCTTTGGTTACAGCCTCCCAAATTGCTGGGATTATAGATGTGTGCCAAAACACCTAGCACAATACATTTTTTAAAATGTTTGCTCAAAATATTAACCAGATA